TAAGTAAATAAACACCACGTAAGCAGAGTAGATAGCTCCTTATCGAATACAACCTCTTGTATACCTCGCGATTGCTCCCTGGAGCGCAGCCCCTTACAGCTCCGGCGCGTACGCAGCTCAGGATTGCGCTGGACAAACCTATCAACCTAGTTCTTGCCCACCTCCTTCCCGCCACGCTCTCAGAGCAGTCTGTTGGCCATATCTCGCACGTCGTCTTTCCTATAGGGTAGTCCTCGCTTAGCCTCGACTATTACACGCATAGTAATAGCCTCCTCTTCTAGTTTTGTTAGGCGCCTTGCTGGTGGCTCCCAATCGCTTCAAGGGCGCTATCCAGCTCGTCGACGCTGGATTGTTGTTTGTGGGACGCTATAGGCGGCAGCAGCGCGTCGTTCACTCTAAATTTGTTTAGAATTAAGATTAGTAATAGCAAGAAATAGATCTGCTTTAGTATAAGTTTTTAACGCGTTACGTTGTTAAGACATTACGCGTTGTTGTTGCAAAGGTGGGATATCATAGGGAAGTGGCCCACATACTGGGGTGGCCCGCTTACTGGTGAAACACGTTATTTAAAGCTATAGTAAATTAAAAACACTTAAAAAAAATAAGTATATAAGCTATTACTAGCTTTAAAAAACTAGTGTAGGCGCCAAGAATAGTTAGGCTAATAGGCTAGCGGCTTAGCGTGGCGCTAGCAAGAACTTTTGACAGTCACCTCCGTAGACTACATTTGCTAAGCACCTTCTCATTTGTCTTGTGTGATAAGGTATGCCCCTACCGTGTTGCGTGGAAATGAATCAGTAGGCACAGTGGCACGTTTATCGGATCCAAGTTTAACGGGCAGCAACTGTAGACTAATTTTGCCTTTCTCAGTGGGCTAAAAAAAAGGCTCTTATCCATTTATGATACATTCTGCGGCAATTATGTGTATAAACATTATATCGTCAGATAAGTGTTGCTGTCAAACAAGCCATACCTGTAAGGCGTAGTGCTGTGCACCACCTGGTGTCTGCAGCTTGTTGCGGCCCGATTCGCCCTTGTGCTTGTCTTTAATCAAAGCCACTCTGACGACGGAAGTCCTGCAACCAGCGTGGGTTATCGGCCACAGTCTGGTTCCAATCATCATCACCGTTCTGATACATGAGCCTTCGCGACTCCCGTTGAAACATCTCGTCTGTGGGGATGATACCGGCGAGCATCTGCTGTCTTGCGAAACGGCTGAGGTGGCGGGTGAGAACAGTAGCAAAGTTGTAATCATGCTGAGACGAAATAGTCTGGAGCGCATCCAAAGAGTCGTCAAAGGGCTGCTGGTCTTGGGGCTGGGTGGGCTGGGCGCTATGTTCTGGGGCGCTTTCTTCTAATTGGATGCGTGACATCAACTGCTTGGTATGGTCGATGGACCCCGGGTTCGTCGCTGAGAAGGGGACGACTGTTTTGGCTTGGTCTGCAATGAGGTAAGGCGGGAATGAATTGATAACACGAGCCGCTACTGCGGGTGCAAAGCCATGATCGCCCTTCCAATGTTCCATGGTTTTTCCGTCACGGAAGTGAGCAGCCAGGTGGTCTGCCCGTTCATCCCAGCTGCATAGGGCCGCGTCACAAATGCCGCAGCGGGACGTTACGGGCGGGGACTCGAGCTTCCAGTCGTCAATCAAGGGAAGCGTATCCAAACCATGGACCAAGCGCAGATGCTGGACGAGGTGGTCTTTTCGGTGAAATACGCGGGGGGTGGCCTGGCCATGGTCGCATGCCAGGTGGTTGTGCTGCTGCAAGTGGCTGGGGGTTGGGTCAAGGGCACTGCAGTAGGCGCAATGCACTCTGCCCGTCAGAGGCAGCACAACGGAGGCGCCGTGGGGTGTGCACACCCACTCCTCCATGTTGAGGTGCAGCGACTTTTCGTGCCGCGTCCAGTCATACTTTGTCTTGAACGTGTCGCAACAGAAGGTGCACTTGAAGATGCGGTCGGGGTCGTTCATGTTCTTGTTCTTGGCCTTTGCCCGGGCACGGCTCCTGGCTGGCTGGCTGCGTCGCTTGGTCTGTGACGTAGCCGAGTGGCTGGAGTTGAGCGATCGCAACGACGATTCGCTCGCAGCACTGTCCAGGCTGGTGGTCGATGATGGGCCCCGGTACCTACGGTAGGCATCGCAGCTAGACGGCTGGCTGGGCCTCGGGGAGATGGCCGCGGGCCGGTTGTCGAGAGCGTTGCAGATGGCGGTCAGTGAGGCGGCCTCGTCTTCGGGCGGGGAATTGCGCCATCGCTGCATGGCGAGAGACTGCTCGTGGTCGTCTTCATGGCGCCGGCTGGTGGTTGGGATGGCAACCGGGCTGGACGTGCCAATGGCTCGCCGCAGCCGATACTTGCTGCGACGGCGGGGAAGCGTGTGGTGTCGCTGTGCCAGTGCCAGTGGCGGGGGCCGGGCGTGGTTTGCAACGGGGTGGCGGGAGAAGACGTCTGCGGGCCTGTTTGGTGCAAAGTCCATGTCCATGTCGTGAGAGGCCGTGTCGTGGCCTAGGGCGGCGGCGTCCAGCGCGGCAGGTGCCAGGAAAGACTCGAAGCAGGACGCGTCCATGGGCTCGTTGTGCCATGGCGAGAGCTGCCAGTCGGGGGCTTGGTGGTGGCCCATGGTGCTGCTGACTCGGGGCGATTGTCGGTGTTGCGGGCAGGCAGCGCGGCGGCAATGGCTGGGGTATGTATTACATGCGTGCGTGGATACGAGAGAAGGCGAGAGGGCTGGCGGGCAGGCCGAAATCGGAACGCACGAGATGGAGCGGCGCGTCTTACTACATGTGCATGGCAACGTACGTACGTGTGTGCCTTGTGCAGTAGTGGCGGCATGGGCTTCCCCAGGCCGCGCTGGGGTTGCAGGGCGTAGGGCGTGAAAGGAGGGGCACGTGGGCGTAAAGTTTGCGCCCTGCCTGCTTCTGCTTGCATGCGTCACGGGATGCGCCACGGTGTTGGTACTAATAGTATAGCGGTGCTTCCATGGCCAAATGCCGCTATACCATGGCTATAGCTAAGCAAACGTAGACGATGCTCGTAGTATAGTAAAGCTGGAGAGTGTAGCGACTGCATAACAGCTACATAAGAGACACAGTAGGTACTTTCTATTATCAAATGGCTATCTTGCTTTGGACTATGTAGTGTCTTTTCCCGCGTACAACAACAGTTCTTGTAGAGGGTGCTGAACGAAGAAATCTAGACCTTGCTTAAAAGTGCCGCATGCTCTACGCATAGTTTCATCTTGCTACCACTTACTATACAGTCTGTAGCGTTGCTAAACCCCCCACCGTCAGCCGTAGTCCTAGAACAAATAAGCTCACTTTTAGCAAGGAACACTGTAGCCGAGATACGTATTTAAATGAGTTTATCTAAACTGCACACTACAACTACCAGCGAATGCGATAACCAGCCTAGAGACAGAGTCATTTTTGGCCTTTGTTGAATATATGTATTCGCTCATATAGTGATGGTAAGTAATAGCGTAGCAAAAGTAGTTTAGTGTTTAGTGCTTAGTGTTCTACAAGGGCGTTCTGGTTCCGCACCAAAAAAAAAGCCCCTTCATGCTGCCCGTTTAGCCCCCACGAGCCATTCCTTCCCTCACCACCATGACGACAGAGCCTGACTTTGCCTGCACCATGGACGGCGAGGCTGACAAGGTCCTCGAGGGCATCTTCGGTGCGTCTGCCCGCCCCATCGCCCTCTCTTACTCCTGACGACTGCGCAGCCGTCGCCAAACCAGCCCACGTCTCGTCGGCACATGTTCTCCTCAAACTGCAGGCGGCTTTTGCGCCTTCGGCCACATTTGCGCCACTACTCGCGACCCAGCCCAAGCGCACCACAAAGTCACCTGACCAAGTCTTTCGTCTCGGCCATGGCGGCACCCTGGACCCCCTGGCCGCTGGTGTTCTCATTGTAGGCATCGGGCGCGGCACCAAGCAGCTTTCGAGATATCTGGCTTGCAGCAAGATTTATGAGACGGTTGTGCTGTTCGGCGCAAGCACAGATACCTACGACTGCACTGGAGCCATTACCAACGAGGCAGACTCTTCACATGTTACGAAAGAGCTGGTTGATGAGAAGCTGGCAGCCTTCCGAGGGACCATACAGCAAACGCCTCCCCTCTATTCCGCGTTGAAAATCAATGGCGTCAAGGCCTGCGAGTACGCACGCCAGGGAAAGAGCCTGCCGCGAGACTTGGAGAGCCGGGAAATGCACGTCGATGAGTGCACGCTGCTAGAGTGGTACGGGCCGGGCCAGCACGACTTCACGTGGCCAACCAAGGACGAGCCAGCTCTAGCACCCGCAGCAAGAATAAGACTAACAGTCTCCTCGGGCTTCTACGTCCGCAGCTTCGCCAACGACCTTGGCGTGGCGTGCGGTACTTATTCGCACATGGCATCCCTCCTTCGGACACGGCAAGCCGACTTCACAGCATCCGACCCACCCGAGGCACCGGGCCTCGTACCCGCGCTGACATATGCCCATCTGGAAGCCGGCGAGGCCGTATGGGCCTCTAAGCTTAGGCCACAACTCCAAAATTGGGTCGCCTCCAACCCGGTGGCGCAGGGTCACGTCAACGGAAGGGATGCAAGTGTCAAGCGCAAGGCCGAGGAGCAGGAAGCAAAGCCTAGGCAAAGGTTCCGCGGAGAATGGGTCGCAGAAACCAAGAAGGAGAGAATCAAGCAACAAGGCGGCAAGTTCAAAGGAAAATGGGGGAGAAAACCTACACCTACCGTGGTCAATGGCGACACGGGAGAACAGCCAACGCCGACTATGGGTGACGCTTCACAACCATGATTACAGGACTCAACCCGAAGTTATGCCGCGGCACGTCATGGCCACGCGCCCGGATAGCATAGAATCCTCGGTCTGATAATTCCAGCAGCCACAATGCTGGGTCCGGGCTTGGTCCAAGAGTCGATCAGATCAGATTCCGCGGCTCATTGTAGCGAGTCAAGACTTCATCTCTGCTGTCACCGTGGCTGTTTTCTCCTAGTCTTGTCATGCCGCATAGTGGAGCCTAGTCTTTAGTTGGACCACTGACTAGCCGGACCTAACATCCCACAACCATGGAAACCCCCTTTGGATGCCGAAAGATGTGCCATTTCCAATGGCGCAATCTAACTAGGCTTGTGTTGCGCAATCATCACATAACGCAGGCGTTCCCGTATCCCTGGCTCCGATCATAGCCTGGGTAGAGTACGTGTGGTTGCGTAGAGAGAGAGACAAACATCAATCTTCCTCCTCATCTTAGTCTGAACCACACCCTAGATTTGTTTGACTGGCATCTTGCACAGACTGTCCTTTTGGCCAGTGCCAGTGCCGGTGCCAGTGCCGCGAGTCGCTGTGTGGCGGGCGTGCGGGTGTGCTTTTACTTGGCCGTGTCTCGCATCGGGGGGGGGGGGGCCCACGAGCCAATGTGTGTTGCTCCAGACTACCAGCAAACGGGCAACGCTGACGAAATTCACCGGCCGTCCGTGTAGCTCTAGTGGCGTCTGCCCTTTGAAACATATTAGCCATCTAGTCTCGGTGCACGCCTCATTCATTCGATACCCGCAATGCCTTGCGACACACATGGCGGGCCCTGTGACAATCATTATGTGATGAAAACCCACGATTTCAGCTTCCTTTGTACCCCGCCGACGAAACACTGCCCAGGACGGGCGTACGGTCAGATTCTCCACTACTCCCCGGACCAAGACTGCATCGCACATCACGTTCACGCCAAGCCCGGGAGCGGACCATGGTCGTCTAACCGCATGCACATCATTCCCACCACCATCTACACCTACGTAGCCACGTCGGGCATGGAGACTGATCACGTCTCTGCGGCGCGGGACGGAGACTACAACCAATTGCGTGGTGGTGTCGAGCCCCGAGACCCTAAGTAAACTTTAAATCGTGGGCTAGTAGCTTGGACGGATGGAAAGGAAGGCCGCCATCAAGGATGATGGCGAGTCATCAGCCAGTGACATTTCGCAGCCCTTCCTCCGACTCCTTCTAGTGCTGCAGCAATTAAAAAACGCCCTGTATCAAAGGGTCCCTCGGGCGTTGTCTAGGTCCCGCATTGGCGTTGTCTATCGGAGAATGCGATCGAGTATGGCAGATGCCGGCGCTTGACTCGCGCCGTCAAGTGTTGGGAGCTTGGCGGAGCCCATGGACTTTCCCCACCCATGTGTGTTATATCATGGTCCATTGGGTTAGCTCATGTGACGGCTGATCAGATTTTTGGCGGTTGTTTCGTGTGCGGACGCTTCGGCTTAGGGGAAATTTGCTCAAAGAAGCTGTTAGTCGAACGGATCACATCTTCTTGACTTGATATCTCTCGATTGCATACGTAGCGATCCGCTAAGCCCGAACCAGGTCTCCTCCCCGTGTGTCACTTGGACTGACCGCTGTCCCTTCCCGGGAGATAATAAACTTTGATGTACTCGCTTAAACTGCTGCATGTGGCAACGGAAGACGTCCAAGAAGCACCAAGAGAAGAGGTTGGGCCTGGCCGTCTCTCTCTCTCTGCCTTTGTATATCCAGCAAGTGTCCGATGCCTGTGTGCGGCGGATGCGCGCGTGCGCTTGTTCATCGCCATGCACATTGTCACGTCTATTGTAAGCTTATCGGCAGCATGTGAAGCTTGCTTGTACACTGCTCACGCTCTCTGTCTAGATCATCCAGGCGCTTTTGCTGGGCCTGGCATTTGTCGTTACTTGTCTGCGCTGCTGGGTCCGTATGCGCCTAGAGAACCGGAAGCTGACGGTCGTCGACTACCTGGTATGGGGCGGATGGCTCTGCACGCTGGGATGGTTCACCTGCTCGACTAAGTCGCTATACATTTTGATCGACCATCCGCTCGACGAGGAAACCCGAAGCGACTCGGTGGATTACCTCAAGGTATGTCCGGGTGATTCGCCGTCATGCCGTTTGATGGACTTGGAAGGGGAAAAAGCAAAAATCTAAACGCTAACAACACCGTGACTAGACCGTTTTCGCATCCGTCTACTTCTTCGACGCTGGGCTATACTTTCCCAAGGCGTCTCTCGTTGCTTTTTACTGGTGGCTGATCCCCGTGGGGTTCAAGCGCCTTCGAATCGCAATCTATGTATCGGCTGGCGTGGTTTCCACTTCGTTCCTCGCAAGCATACTGACCGACACGCTGATTGCGCCCAACATTTCTGATAACTGGTACGAAGCGGCCACGTGGATGCTAAGCAATACGTCCAACTAACTGGTAGCTATCAACAGGTCCATCGAAAACCAGCTCCAGTCGACATGGAACACATTTGCCAATCTCGTCATCAACTGGGTGCTCAACTTTGGTACTGACTTGCTACGTAGGTTGACTGGCATTCTCAAACTAGGTCCATCTTGGCTAACGAGCAGTTTGTAGTCTTCATCCTACCATTTTTCATTGTCAATTGTCTGACACTTCGAAAACGCCAGAGGATTGGCTTGGTTGGCGTCTTCTCGCTGGGGCTCATCACCATGGGCATTAGTCTGGGCCGGTTCATTGTGTACAACATGGATTACGACCTTGCCGACGCCGACGGCAGTGAGTGACTGCCAACACCGTTTTCGCAGCAGCGGTTTTTAATCTGGTTTTTCTTACTGACACAATGACAGATCTTTGGTGCACGGCAGAGATGTGTACAGCCGTCATTGTAGTGTCGCTTCCCTTCTTCAAGACACTCATCATGCGGTCGACGCCGCCAAACTCTACGAACCGCAGTAACAGTGGATATGTGAAGGGATCATCCAACCAGGCAAACGCACATGGTGGCAGTGGGTTCACGTCGCGGACCCGGGGCGGCCCAATGGATGACGAGGTGGAGCTGACGCTGCAGGACCGTGAGCGAAAGGGAAGTCTGACTCCCACTGGAGCGACTGATGAGGCGAGAACGCCGGATGGGAAAGATCATGTAACGCTGGCGACGGATTGGACAGTGACGAGGGATATTGTGTAAGAGTAGTGCGTTGAACAAGCGATTTTACCACGGCCACTGCATGATGCGTTTTGGCGTGAAGACGAGAAATGTGTACTGGACCCCTGACCTGGCTGCTGGGCGCTGTTATCGAGAGGGTGTGTTGTGGGTTGGTGCATTCGGATGGCCTGGTGTTAGAGGAGCCTTGGGCCGGGACTATCAAGGCTGATCCATGGGTCTACACATGGGTATGCGGGATACAAAATATCGCTCACCCGGCCAATCTAGGCGACTTTGCTGGTCGTCAGCAGGAGCACATGGATAGGAGCAAGACATTGCCACCGCGGGCTGATATGGCCACTTGTCATTGCCATGCCTCCGTCTCGGCACGGGAGGCGGGGTATGGCCAGTGCTGCTATGCGGTGAGTAAGAGTGTGCAGAGCGAGGTGAAGCGGATGGGGGTAGTGATGGTGGTGATGATGGTAGTGGTAGTGGTAGTGGTGATAGCAGTAGTGCAGACAGACGACGTGCTATGACGCCTGTGTGCGGGCCTCTCAGGGTGAGGCAGTGCAAGCACAGCCAACCAGCAGGAGTGACCCACACGCACCCGCCGCCATGGCCATGAACCAACTCCAGTTCTCTCAACCCTCTACGCCGTTTCTCTCCCCCCCCCTCCCCTCACCCCCTCCCCCCCATCGACAACGACTGCGCATCGCCATCCCCCCCCCCCCCGCAAACCCGCCCTTCTGCACCCCGCGTGTCTCACTGTGCCCGCCCGTCCGCCCCGTCCAGCGCCGCCGCCGCCTTTCTGGATGCCGCCGATATGAAGGCCGCCACCCGCCTGCTTCGCTTGCCGACGACTCTGCTGCTGGTGCTGGCGGGCGCTGTCGCAGCCGGCGACACAATCACGGCGGGCAAGATCAAGGTGCAGCTGTTTGCCGCGCCCTCGTTCCTCAGCGAGGTCAGCGTCGACGCGTACAACAACCAGTGCCTGTCACTCGACAACAACCTGTATGTCTGCGCCCAAGCATCCCTTTGCCGCCCGCCTTGGCGCTAACCACATGCAAGCATCGACGGGCGCGTCCAGAGCATCTTGGTCGGCGGCCACGACGTCGCCAGCGTGCTGCAACGAGACGACTACTGGAATTGCCGCTTCTACGAGTGAGTCGCGACGCAAAAAAAAAGAGGCGCGCGTGGCTGGTGGCTGACGTGCGACACAGCAATTATGACTGCAGCGGCGACACCAACATGGACCAGTACCTCGCCATTTCGGACGGTGTCAACAATCTCGGCAGCATAGGATGGGGGACCAAGATCCACGGAGTAAAGTGTCGCAATTTCGCGTCGCCCGACGATTGAGCCCACGCCAACCGACGAGAAAGAGGACGAGGACGAACGAGGACACGGAGCAGCACACATGTCCGCCAACACATCAACATCGACGACGATGAGAACGGTCGCCACACACGCACGCGCGAAACCCCCACAAACCCACACACACACCACCGTCGGCATACCCGCGTCGCGGATAGTGCCCAGTGCACGCGGAGGAGCCGACGAAGAACAGCCAGCACATAGACATGGCCTAGCACATAATGTCTTAGCAAGGACGTAAGCAAAGAGATCGGGGTGGTTATACGAGGTGTACATGCAGGGGAGGTACAGTGTATATACGGCGATTGAGCAGGCGTTTGAGCATTTCGGGTTGGGCATCAATATACACACATAGAGCAGGAGTTACGACGTTGGCATTCGAAGTGCTCGATGCCGCTTTCGACATTACTTATAGTTAAATTGCGCACCATAATCAATATTCAAGATAGGAAACATTCAATGCATGTTCGTTCCCTGTTTCCATGTCTATTCTTAGAGCTATGGGCTCAACCCATGTCTACTAGATGTACAACAATCTCTCTATCTGCTCGCGACATGCTCAATTACTCCAAGGGGTATCTCCAGCACCATGTTCCAAGCCACGCCATGTCCTACAGACCAACACCAACACCAACAACAACAACAACTCCATCTTCAGTCTCTACAAATCAATCAAATCCGGCGCCTCGCCCGACCCCACGCCCCGCAACAGGACAATCATGTTACCACTCTGACACGGCTCCCCAATCTTCTCGCTAAACTTGAGCAGCCTCCCGCCCTCGACGTGGAAAACACGCAGTTTCTCCTCCTCGCCTCCGCCCCGGTTATTCACGTTCTGCACCTGCAGCGCCTTGGCCGCCATGTCGAGCACCCGCCCCACCGTCCACTCCTTGTTGTAGAAGAACTTGCCCGTCGGATACTTGGCCTTGGTCGTGTCCGCCGACGCCTCCACGTGCAGGTATATCCGCTTGTCTTGCGGCACGCTGGCCTCGCCCTTGGCGCTGCGCTTCAGCGCGTTGAGTTCGGCTTGCGCCGACGCTGCACCCGAACTCGACGAGCCCTTGACTAGGCCTAGGAACCCCGATTTCTTGCTGCCTGCTCGCCGCTTTTCGTCTTCCTTCTTCTTGTTTTCCGCCCAGAGCTTCAACTTCATTAGTGCGCTCATAGTTTGTTGCCGTGCGCCCGTTGGCACTGCGCCGCGCTGTGGTACGTTTTTGCAGTCATGATCTTCGGGCATTCGGTGCTTGAGGCAGTAGGAGTGGTTACATGATGAGCATTCGTTTGGAGGCATGCGCGGCGTGTTGATCAGTGTCTTGCACGAGCTTTCGTAGCATTGCTGTTCATGGTTGTATAATGTTGGCTTGGGCGGTAGCTTTTCATCTCGCCCTGGCGAATTGTTCCCGGCCTTGCGCCGTGCCCACTCGCCAGCCTTGGGACATTTGTGCGCGTTCTCGGTGCGGTGGTCGAGACAGAACTTCCTGGTGTTGTCAGTATGTCATCTCCTAATGGTCTGTACAAAAGACATGCCCTTGGCAACTCTCACAGCGAAACGGTAGGAAGTCGAGTACGTGGCAGTACTCCATCTGGCAGTGCGCCCCAATAGCTTCCACTTCGCCCTTCATCTCGGTATAACTGGAATCGTTTGCGGACGTCATGGTTGCGGCAAAAGAGTGATGTTATGTAGTACAACAGGATATAGATGTGTCGATTAGAAAGCTCGGGATATGGCGGAACTGTTGGAAATATAATGAGAACGCACAGGAAGCGTCGAGAAGGCGGCGAGGCCAGGCAACTTAGCTGACGATAGCTAAGTCGGAATGCTTGGGCGCAGTTCCGAGGTGGCACGCTAGCGTCAGGGTCCAAAGCTGTGCTCTGCTATCCTCCAGCCACCCATTCTCTCACTCCCTGTCCAGATGTTTTGCCGCCACATGGCGCGTCGTCCTCGTCGTATGTCGCATCTATTTTCGTTCCCGTTCTCAACTGTCTATCCGTGTGTCATGCAAGCGCCGAGTATTTCTAGCGCCACGAATATCCGCTCTGCTCTTTACGAAACGGCGTCTATTAAAGATCCTTCACAAGTACAACGATGACACCATTGGCTTATCGTACATGTTATGGAGCCATGGCCATTCCCCTTGAGCCGCGAGGCTGTAACAGTGCAGGGTTTCAGGAGCGAATACATGCGCTTCTCTTGCCGCCTGCGCCAGAAGGATCAATCGCTCGAGGCGTCTCTTCATGCAAGGATACGTTGTGCCTCTGCCGCCATAAATCCAACACTGCCGTAGATGGATCAGCTTCAAATCAGGTCTTGTTTTGTCACCTTTGTTCAACTGTAATATCAATCACGTATACTTTCGCTGCATTTCGTTTAATCGGCCTGACAATGACAACTGCAATTCACAACGTTTACTCCAAATCTCTGGACACGGCCCCAGTGCCTTCTCTTGTGCCATTCTCATCGGAACCTTCCTATCACTACAGCGGCTTGACCGAGGGACAAATAAGACTTCTTGTCTTACAACCAGGGCCTCGCAAGGCCGCAATCCGCTGCTCCCTACGAACCGTCAATCTGGCCGACTTCGATGACAGATTTGCTGTCGCGCTACAATCTGAAATTTCGTCCTATGAGGCTATTTCATATTGCTGGAAAGATGTTCCTGGGGAAAGGACCATTGAATGTGATGGTCAACCACTCGAGATTGGAGCCAATCTTGAAATTGCACTCCGCCATTTTCGTTTTGCAGATAAACACCGTGTTATATGGGCGGATGGTATATGTATCAATCAGAATAATGACGAAGAAAAATCAAAACAGGTTTCACTGATGGGCTTGATCTACTGGATAGCGCGAAGAGTTCTCGTGTGGCTTGGCGAGGAAGATAAACAAGCCACGCCCTTCAGCGCACAGAGAGCGTTCACCGTAATGCGCAAATGCAGCTATCTCCGAGAAGAGATTGAGAATAACAGGGCAAATCTTAATGCAAATTCCACCTCTAGGAATCATGGAATGGAAGGTGAAGATGCCGAATCATGGGAAGCAGTTCGACAACTGTTAATGCGAAATTGGTTCACGCGAGTATGGGTTGTTCAAGAGCTTGGCTTGGCGAGAGATGCCACATTCTATTGTGGAGATTCCTCTCTCACATTCGAAGACATGAACCGTTTCTGGGACTTTATTACTTCGAATGCCCATATGTATCTGTCCCAATACCAACTCAACTTCCAAATGCTCAATCTGGCCCGTCACTACCAAGAGAGCACGCGAGGTAACCATCGATTGGAGTTTGGTAACGATCCAGATCTTGCAGAAGATATATGCGATATTCTTGGCTGGGCGAGAGGTTTGCAATGCACAGATCCAAAGGACGCCGTGTATGCCTTCTTGGGTCATCCCACGGCCTTCAAGAGACAACTGCTAGACTCGGAGCCATACCTCTGGTACCCCCGCAACTTCCACAGCCAAAAGCCAACTATCATCAAACCCGATTATAGCAAAGCCACGACCGTTACAGATGTATACTATCAGGTCGCACGTACAATGATCGAGAAATACGGGCTAGGCATGAAGGTTTTACGACACATCCAACAAGATGATATCACGATCCAGGACGATTTTCCTTCGTGGGTACCCCGATGGCACATGATGGAGGCTGCACCGTTAGTGAGCGTGGCAACGAAGTATGCGGCTGCCACACGTTTCCCAGCCTCCCCCTTCGAAGTAATACGCCGTACCAGTATTGGCATTCCAGGTCTCAGAATCAAAGCCGTTTCTATAAGCACGATATATTGGTCGAGACCATTACCTGCAGAACGGCATCTTGGACAGCCACAAGAAACCGGGATAGACAACAGCTACTACTACCCTCTCGAGGATTTGATCCAGACGATACATGAGCTTCAGAACGATTTTCCCAGCCAAGATTACTGCGATCTGAAAAGTCTTTCAGCTACCTTAACATCAGGGTTGACGTATATTGACCAGGCCCCACAAGGAATCATCGATGACAAAACTTCAACGCAACACTACCATGATTTCTGTGCATACCGTCGCTTCAAGCTTGCCGAGACCAGAACCCCTGGGACGCAAAACAACGAAACCCTGACATCTCCTCCTCATCCTCAAAGTAGCGAGCATGGCGACGCTAAACGCTACATGAAAGTACTCCGCGCTGGACACCGTGGCTGCTTCCTGACTCGCCGAGGCCGCCTCGGACTCGGTCCACGCATCACCCAAGGCGGAGACCAACTCTGGCTTCCCATGGGCGCCGATACTCCTTTCGTCCTGCGGCCACTCGACGACGGCAATTTCAGGGTTATCGGCCAGGCCTATCTACACGGTGCCATGCAGGGAGAAGCGACTGGGCATTTGACTGAACATGACTTTGCGTCTATAACTCTGGTGTGATTGGTTTTGAAAAAGCGTGTGCTGGAGTCTGGAAGCAGGAGAGGTCTTTTGTATAATATAAGAATGGATGTTGGCTTCTTAAAGTAGCTAGCTTTTGCAGAGCGAATCCAAATATGGTTACTTGGAATGTTGCTTACGCTACTTTGTTGCAACACTGCGAACAAATGGGCTGAGGCTAAGCTCTGCAGAAATCACTTGAGAAGAAGTACCATTGATAGGGATAACGTGTAGAAGACATTAGACTTCCAAGCTAGCATATATGTTTTCTACACTACAGCATCATGAAATCATATAGTTCTCCAAATCCAAGAGCCTCCTCCTAAGTACTACCGAATAACTCGATGCTGCAAGTTAAACTATGTACAATTCAGGAAATCATACATGTACTGCTCAGCTTTGGAACTGCTGCACCATGGCAGTGCTTAATATGTCCTGCTTCTTATCTCTTTACATATTCAAAGATAAACTGGAAATGCTACAGCACTCTAATCCATCATTCTCACAACATCCATAAAGATCACATCCAGCATCACTCAAACATCTCATTCTTCCTCATATACTACCAGTACTACCGCATTCATTCATTCATCACACCACTCGCAGAGACGCACCAGCTCCGCTCAAACAGAGAAAACGTGTAGAATTACACCACCACCGCCACGGAAACGCCATACCCATGCGTATACTCGCATAATTGCGCCCAAACGACAATATGAAGCCAAGCATAGCCGCCCAGACTACCCCACTCAAACCACACAAGTAACTCAAAAAATGAAATCAAGACATCTTTTCCGTATCCACATCTGCCGCTTTCCTCACCAACCCCCTTATTTTCGGCCACAGCTCGGGAATGCGAAAGGGTTTGGAAATTGCGTCGTCCATTCCCGCCGCGAGCGCCTGCTCCACCTGCTCCATACGCGCATTTGCACTCACGGCGAGGATAGGGAGACGAAGAAGTTGCTTGCTAGGGCGCTCAAGGGACGAAGTGGAAGAATGCTGCTTATGCGCTGGTGAAGGAGAGAAGTAGCAGGAAGAGGAAGAGGAAGAGGAAGAGGAATCAGATTGGTGGTTTTGATGCGATTGGATGGGCGAGACTGAGATGGCTGAGAGACGACGCGTCTGCTGTGGATATGTGGGACGGGGTGGGGCGAGGAGACCTTGGTGTTCGTAGTCGCGGATTAGACAGGCGCACGTAAGGCCGTCCATGATGGGCATTTCAATATCCATGAGGATAATATCCAGTTCGTGTTTGGGTTCTTGTGTGGAGCCGTCCTCTTTTTCGCTATGCCAGTATACGCTGTTTTTGAGCCAGTCGAGGGCTTCCTGGCCGTTGCCGGCTACGCTGATGTTCCAGTGAAATTTTTCAAGCTGCTTTCGGAGGACTTTTTGGTTGACGAGGTTGTCCTCCACGATGAGTATGTTGAGTCTGGCCATCTTCATGGCTTCCTCGCTCGTCATTGTCCGCCGAGGTACCGGTCGGGCTTGCACTGCTCTTCCGGATAATTGATCAACTGGCGGTTGGGCCAGGCGTGTACTGATGTAGAATGCAAATGTCGACCCTTCTTCTTTTACGGAAACCACGCCGATAGATCCACCTTGCAGTTTCGTGAGCGACTTGGAGATGAAAAGGCCGAGACCTGATCCGCCGTACTTGACGTGGGTGCGAGGCGTTGTCTGTGAGAAGCGAGCGAAGAGCTTCTTTTGCTCGTCCACAGTCATGCCGCATCCCGAGTCCTGTACTTTGAGCCAGAGATATGCCTTGCGACCATCTCCCCATTCGGAGTCATCGGTAATCTCGGACTTTGTCCTTTCGTCGTCAGTGAAGGTGATATCCTCCCAACATTTAGGTGGTTTGGTCCACGATGCACCAATTGTAACAGAGATGGTTCTCCGAGGACGGTCCTTGGTAAACTTGATCGCATTGGTGCTGGACCTATTAGTGGGAGCCAATCAAGAATATTGAACGAAACTCACAGCAAGTTGATAAGTACTTGTAACAAGCGTGAAGGATCTAGCATTGTCCATTCGATGCCGTTGAGCGTTTCATCAATATGAAACGTAAGACTGATATCTGCCTGACTGCACTCAACGTCAAACATCCTTACTGCGTCCGAGACCACTACTGCTGGCTGCACGCGCATAGGCGTGATCAAGATCAGGTTTGAGTCGAGCTTAGACAGAGTGAGAACGTCGTCGATAACGCGTTTCTGGTGCATCGAGCATGAAACAATGATTAACAGCGACTCAATGCAACTGTGTATTTCAGCCTCATATTTAGAGTCTTCAAAGAGCGGGTTGATCGATTTTCGGGTTAACAGCTGCTGCAGCGAAGCGATGACCGAATCAGCACATTGGATCACGGCGGAGAGCGGGTTTCGCAATTCGTGGGAAGTCATGTCGATAAAACTGTCCGCTGTTAGCGATTGCCAAGTAGGAAGAGTAGTGATATGTCCATACTTTTCCTGTTGCCGTTTTGCTTCGAGCGCTTCCTCTATTCGGCGGCGCTGAACGCTTTCGGCCCATTTGAATTGCGAGATATCGAACAAAGTCCCCATGATGCCTAGGACCGTCAGCACAAGAAGTCGTTGTCCAATATGGCAACCTCACTAATCACTTTCCCGCTTTCGTCGAGCTCGGGGTAGCTCGAGCTCTGCACCCAGATGTTGGAGCGCTTGCCGTCCTGATTGACCCAAGTCTTCTTGAGGCGAAATTGCACTCCATGGGATTTGGCACCTTTAAACATGTTTTCCCAATCATTCTTGACTCTAACCACATCTTCATCCGCAATAAGATCAAACCATTCAAACTGGTTCACCGGTGCATGGGCATGACCGGTCAGCTCAAAGAATTGGTCATTCACAAAGTTCATACCTAGTCAAGTCAGCTCCGACCAAGATAAAGGGGGGTTCAGACTTACCACTCTCAGGAACATATATGTAGATTGCTACTGGAGAGACCTGAGCGAATCGGGCGAATTTCATTTCTGCCAGCCGAGCCTGCTCAAGAGCCTCGACCTGTGCCTGCGCCACAGCCTGTGTCTTCTTCTGTGCGTTGATGTCAATTGTATTGCCGGCTATACTGATGAGGTTTCTATCGTCATCAAAAACGGGCACACAGGCTGAGAGGACCCATTGAGCATTGTCTTTGGATCCAGGGCGTGGTTTCCAGCGCATTTCAAAAGTAACAGATTGTCCTTGGGCAAGGTTGTTCCACATGGACATTACAAGAGCCTGATCTTCGGGATAAACGAGATCCATGAAGGAGTACTGGGACTCGAGGCCTCTGGGATGAGAACTGCAGAGGGTTAACGTTGAACTTGGATATGGACCAATCTTGCGGGTTGCCATGCCTTAGTCTATACCAAGCCTCATTTGCATGTAGTAACAGTCCTTCTGAGTTGTACTCGAAGACGCCAACATCGCTCATCTCCATCATGATCTGGATGCTTTCCCATCTCGCATTTAGATTGGTGGAGGGCAGGGTTTGGGGCGGCTTCGGTTTGTCAAACTTGGCTTCCTTCATGATATCCGATCGCGAACGGGTGAAGACGGGTGTTCGATGGATCTTCGCACCACCATGTGCATTTGTCTTTGGATTCAATATTTGCTGGTCGCGGTCCGGAGAGCTGGACCTGATGGCTCTTACTACTTTCCAGGCGCCAGAGCGCCCAGCACATTCGGCGCTCCATACCCTGTTTCCAAATTCATACTCGGGCTTGAAGTCGCCCAAAGCCTGTGCCCAGGAGCGGAAGAGCAGCGCAGCTCTGTCTTGAGCAAGGACGGAGCCGCGCAGACCCAGACTGCGAAATGTCTGGTTGCAAAACAAGAGGTCGAACTCGAGTTCTATGGCGCCAGTTTTGATGACGAAGAGCGGGGAACTTTCCGACTCGAGGTCTTCCAGGTCCAAGAGGCATGGGTGGGCGCGATCGGCCGATGGCATCCCGATACGGTTATGGTAGGGAAGAAGGGTCAACAAAGACATGCGGCGGGCAATGGTTGTTGTGGATGGCGGTCAAAGATGGTGACGTGTGTGTAGTGTGGAGGAATCAAAAGGCCTTGGCTAGGACATAGGGTAAGATGGAGACGTATGTAGGGATGGGGGTGGAAGCGTCGGCACTGGGCGGCTGTGCCGTTGGGAAATGGCCGTTCGACGTCGCTTGCCACTAGGGCAGTCGAGGCTCATATGTTGTCGCACGCAGCAATCGAGGCTCGGCAGTGCGAACAGGGCAGCAGATGGGTGTTTCTGTATTTCTGTGTGCTGGCAGGGCGTGACCGGCCTGTCCTGGCCAGGTTACACGGCCGACATGATTGGCATCTTGCACCGGCGAACACGTCCGGCACTGGCTGAGGCCTTCATAGGCATAGGTAGGAGCTGATGGCTGCATGGCCTGACAGATCGCAGGCCCGCCGGGAACCAGAAACCAGCTGATGGACGCGCAGATGGGCGCCTCGATCGGCCGTCGAGCCGATGGCAAGGTTTTGACAGTGGGCGCTAGCTGCATCTCGACCTCTGAGGTGAAGTCCAAGGATGGCGGCGAGGCCTGCAGGTACCCAGGTTAAGTCGGATGCGGTCTAACCTCGAGCAGCTTTGTTTTCCCATCGCGATCGATCTGCCTGCTATTCATAGAGGATCCTTGCCCCCGGCACCCCAGACTTGTGCTTGTTTTCCGCGGTTGGAGGGGTAGACTACTCGCACCCTAAGTGTAGATGTCGCGCATACTGGCTGATCGGCAGGCTGGACGGCCCCTTGGCGGAACTTCCGAAAAGACGTCGTCTCGCTGTGTACCAGCACCAGTGCCATTCATCAACATGACGCCCGATGCCCATGCCCGCCCATTACCTCACTGGCGACGTGCCAAGAACAGAGCCCTGCGTGTGTTGTATCTTCTGCACGGAAGCCCGACGCCCCTCACGTGTGCCTCACCGGCGGGAAAAATCAGCTGTCCGGCTCTGCGTGCTTTGGCGAGTCAAGGTGGTGGTTGGATGGAGCAACTCGCCTCGGATCACCCGATTTGCATGTCCATCACGTGACTGCGCGTTTCCGCTCTAGCGTCGACACACCGAACCCATGCCGCCGTCTTCGCTGCCACCACACCAGCCACGCGACCCTGACACAACACGTTCCGTGGTACCGCCTGGTAGGATGAGCGAAGATGAATACGGATGGTCCTCCGGGGACGATGAGTACCTTGTAGCTGCGCCTCCTCACGCGCCAGGCGACAAGCGCAAGCCCACCAAGGACACGCTGGATAGAGCGCCATCACCCAAGAGAGCCAAACCTGAAACAACATCTACACCTCCCTCACCCAGTACTGTGCTCGCCAACAAAGTCCTCAAGCAACGCTTTGGGCTTGACAGCTTTCGCCTCGAGCAGGAAAAGGCCATCACACGGATTCTTGACGGGGGCAGCGCACTCGTCGTCTTCCCCACTGGCGGCGGCAAGAGTCTCTGCTATCAAGTGAGTCTGGCTCATCATCTAGACACTCTGTCTAATGTCCCGAGGTGCCTGCCGTTGCCTTCAGTCATCAAGATGAGCAGCTCAACCGACGCACTCCTGGGCACAGCGGCGTCACTCTGGTCATCTCTCCGTTGATTGCTTTGATGAAAGATCAAGTCGATGCCCTCTTGCGCCGAGGCATAAAAGCAGCAGTCCTAAACTCTTCCATCTCCCGCGACCAGTTCCTGGCTGCTCAAGACGATCTCAGAAACGGCCGTCTGGACCTCGTCTACTGCGCGCCAGAGCGTCTCAACAGCGAAGGCTTCATTTCTTCGCTGAAAAGCATACCTGGAGGTATCCGCTTACTCGCTGTTGACGAAGCCCATTGTATTTCAGAATGGGGCCACTCGTTCCGCCCAGACTACCTCAAGATCGCCCGCTTCGCACAAGAAGCTCAAGTAGGGAGGGTCATATGCTTGACAGCGACCGCAACACCCCAAGTCGCCAGAGACATTATGGGGGCCTTTTCCATTCCAGAAGAGGGGCTTTTCAGGACGACAATGTATCGCCCCAATCTACGTCTCCTAGCCGAAGCAAACGCAAGAGACAGTGACTACGTAGCCAAACTCGTCACGCATCTCAAAAAATACCCCGGTGCGACAATCGTCTACGTGACCCTTCAGAAAGGCGCAGAAACCCTGGCTTTGGAACTACAGAAACTAGGCTTCAAGGCCAATGCTTACCACGCAGGTATGTCCGCGTTGGTACGCTCAAAAACACAGGATGAGTTTCTTTCCAGCACCGACATGATTGTCGTTGCTACCATTGCCTTTGGAATGGGCATCGACAAGCCTAATATTCGCAGCATTGTACACTTTGACATACCCGACAGCATCGAGTCGTACAGCCAGCAGATTGGGCGAGCTGGCCGGGACGGAAAGTCCAGCGTGTGCATGTTCTACCTCTCGACCAAAGACTTTTACTTGCGCAACATCTTCACCTACGCCGACCGCCCGTCGATACGCTCTCTGAAGCTCTTGATGACCGACATATGCTCTCCAGCCCGAACCCAGCTCAAACCCGGAGATACCTTCACCATTTCCCTCTATACCCAAGGCCAAGAAACCGACATCAAAGCAATCGTCCTCGGCATCCTCTACGCCCAGCTTGAACTGCAATTCAAGCTATTCCGCGCAACAGGCGCCCTCTACACCAAATACGCGTACCTCGTCAAAAATGCCGCCGCCATCCAAAACGACAAGTCGGCCGCCGCCTCGGCAATCCGCGCAGTAGCAGTGAAAAGCAGCAAGTGGACGCACGTCGCTCTAGACGATATCGCAAGCACAAGATCCATACCGCGCGCCGATCTCGTCCGCAAGCTCGACGACTGGAACGAGCGCGGCGCCATTGAACTGAAAAAGGAAGGTGTGCAGAACACATACCGTCTCGAGCGCGCGCTGCCCAGCACCGCCGAGGAAATCAACGACATTGTGCAGAAACTCGATCAAAACATGCGCGAAGCCGAGCAGCTGAAGTTGGCGCGCACAAAAGCCATTGTACACCTCATCACGGCTCCACGCTGCTTTGCAAAGGCAATGGCAGAGTACTTTGGCGAGGCATCGAATGTCAGGGACGAATGCGGCCATTGCACTTGGTGCGAGACGCACTCGCAGGTTGTGCTTCCTGATGAGCCGCCGCAGCCTCCTGATCCGCTCAAGGTCAACAGGGTCCTGGATGCCGTGCATGTGCGCGACGACCCGAGGTTCCTGGCTAAACTTGCGTTTGGGATCAAGAGTCCGCGGATGACGGTGCTCAAGGTGTTTTCGTCGGGTGTGTTTGAGTCGATGAATGTGTGTGATTTTCCGCGGCTGCTCGACGTCTTTACAGAGGCGTGTGACGAGTGCTGTTAGGGAGATTGAGCAGGGAACTGCCAGTTTGCGATTGTGTTTGCATCTTGTTCCACAAGTGATATCCTTCATCATAAGCTTTTTGTAGAAGATTACATGTATAGATTGAGCGGATCGTATGCTTCGGGGTATCGTATATACAAAGACGGGTGGACTATCTCGTCATGATTCCAACCCGCTTATAATTCTTTCTTCGCCTTGTTCGCCTCTGTCTCTTCCTTCCTCAGCTCCTTTGCTCCAATCACCGGTCGACCTTCCACGGCCTTTTCCCCACCAAACGTTTTGAAGGCATTGTAGAAGATCCACTCGGTTGCATGCTCGACTGGCTCGTCAAACACAAAGGGGAGGAATGGAACGGCCGCAAGACCAAGCTATGGTATGTTAGTACTTCTAGTTGACAATGGTGAGGGGAACGGCTTACCCCAATTGGAGCCCAGGTCCTGAATGTCTTATTCTTGACATCTTTCAGCGCACGCCCAGAATACCGTACGATACTATGAATGGTAAATGCAGGCAATCCCATAGAAGCCACAGCCTGGAAGACAGCTCGCTGCGCCATGACAGCCCGGTAGTCCTCAATCGCCGGTATGCGTCCTGCGACCACCTGACCGCCCGTCAGCGCACTGGCAGAATCGCCATACTTGACGCCCTCGGTACTCGTCGCACCCTTGGCCAGGTCCTGGATCTTGCCAAAGAAGCTTGAGCCAGAAGCACCTCCTGTCGCCGCCATGTCCTGGTCTTTCTTCTCTCCAAGCGCCTTGGCGGCATCTTCATCGATGAACTTCTCCGGGTGCAGCGTGCGCTGGTTCCTGCAGTAGGCTTTGTAGCCCTCGTGGGCGACGTCGCCAGTGAGGTAGAGCCAGGACACGCCATAGGCGCCTTTGACCAAGTACGGGTGCGCGATGGGGCGGAAAGACTCGCCAATGTCGGAGGTATAGGCTACATATCGGTGCGCAGAGAGCATGATTGTACGGATACGAGATGCGTACGCAGCATAGCGGAGGGACGTATCGGTTGAGTCGTCGCCTCTGCGCAATGTCAGTTATCGCATGTCGATGCTAGCGGACAGATGACAGCGCAAGTAGAATTGAAAGTGAATACATACTCGCCATCATACAGCACATCCCACATCTTGTCCTCATCATTGAGCGTATCCTGCAGCTCCTTCGGCAGCCGTTTCCTAGGCGGTGGTACCGAAAAGTCCGGACGGGTGCCTTGTCGCTCTACGGGCACGCCATCGACCTCGTCGACCTTCTTATTGCTGTCTTTGGCCATGGTACCAATTCACGATTTGACCTCCTCTTCTAACGATAGACCGGATCCGCGCGCAAGAACAAAGTGAGAAAGGAGAGGTTCCCAGAAGCTTAGAATCCCGCGTCGTACCGCTGACGCTGCTGTGTCGACGACCCCGACCCGCCGCAACGTCATGGCTACCGAATCACATGCCTGCGCCTGCCGTCCCTTTTCCCTTTCCCCTCTCTCCGCACCAGCCACAGCAATAGCGCCACACAAGCGCACCAGCCACAGTTTTGCCCGCCAAGCCCCCATCTTCTCTTCCGAGCAAGACAGCTTCCGCCGCAACAGCAGTCACCCGCCCCATCTCCATCCATTGACGCATCCGCATCTCACCTATCCCTCCCCCCGCTCCCGGCACCGATTCCCGCTAAACCGCAATCATGGTTGCTATGTACACTATTATGGGCCGCCAGGTCGGATCGCACGTCGTACGTCCCCCCCCATCATGTTCCCTCGCAGTCAGGCGGTAGATCCGGAGAGCAAGAGAAGAACGAAGAAGAAAAAAAAATCTGGAAACCACAGTGTTTTTTTTCAACCTCGTTCAATCCAATTCCACATGCCTGGCGACGAGCTGTGCGCAATTGAATTGAATTGAAGCGAATCGAAGCGAAGCGGGTGAAAGCAGGAAGAAGGGAAAAAAAAGAGAATATAAAAGCACAATTTTCAAGCCGGAAAAGCGCTGACTTTTGCCACTCACACACAGCTTGCCATGGCCACGCTCGGCGTCACATTCACGGGTGCAGCGCTCTCCATGGGCGGCAAGAAGACCGACGACCCGACTACACCTCCCATCAACGCCAAGAGCAGCGAGGAAGAGAACTTTGTAAAGTGCGTATATCCTGCTCGCCCACACTGTACACTTCCAATCGCAATGGGATAGCGCTCAATGGCTACGAGAGAGAGAGGGGGGGGATGCAAGAGCGGACAAAAACGTGGATAAAGGCTAACGAGGTAATTAGGGAATACGTCAAAAAGGCCGCGGACAAGGTCCAGGGCAAGCAATAAACTATCTATCGATCTAGCGACCGACGTCCCTCCGTACCGCACAAGCGCAAGCACATGGCACGAATGGAGAAAAAGAAAAACAAGCCCTGAGGGACATGTGTATGTGTATGGGGTAAGAGGAGGAGGAGGAGGTGTTTGACCGGGTGTGGAATCACCAATGACACTTTGGTAGCCATCCGGTATCCGGACTCTGTAGAAATTAGACTACATATATGCATACAGCACCTGGAAGCATCTTGCGTGTGACGATGATTGCAATTGGACTGAAAGAAGAAAAAAAACGTCAAGTAAACGATGTGACATGACAGGGTGGGTATTCGATACTACAACAAGCAGAATATACATGGGAATATTTGGACCGCGTGAAACACACATGACTTGGTTCCATGCAAATTGCCATGCGCCGTAACGCCAGACGCCCCATAGAGACGCACACAATTGTCGACCAAACACGAACAAGTAGAAGACGCCATACACCAAAAGCACGTGTGCTCCAAAATACACCACTTCATAATCATGTTTTTTACTCGTCGTCATCCTCAAGCACAACCTTCTTATTCATACTATCCAGGACCTTGCAGTAAAACTTGACGGCCTGTGCACTGGGGAAGCAAATCTCCTCGGTGAGGTAATCCGGCAGGATATCGAGGAGCTCGCGGTCGCGCTGCTCGTCGAGCAGCGGCTGGTAGATGAATTCCGTGTCTTCGGGAGACGCCGAGTCTGCGGTGACGGTGAGGTGGAAGTGGAGGGCTGTAAAAAATTAAAAAAAAAAACATGTTAGTGATTTCCGGATGTAGGTATGTGTGTGTGAATAGAGAAAAACTTACTGCGCCCCCGCCCCGTCTGCAAACAATCATACACGTCGTCGCCGTCATCCGACTTCTTGACGCTCAGCACAACCAGATTGGTGAGATCGCTGTAGAGATCGACTTTTTGGCGCGCAAGCGTGGCTTCCTTTACGGCTTCGGCAGTGCCCGGGAGCACGACGCCCGTGGTTCGGGGTTTGACTGCGCTGCCGGGCACGGTTTTTGTTTCTGGCTGTGCGGAGGAGGCGCGCGCGGCGGCGAGCTTGGATGAGAGCGTCTTGTTTTCGTTTTGCGCGGTTGTGAGGGCGTCGTGGAGGCGCTTGTTTTCGGCGGCGAGGCGCGCGGATTCTTTGGCAGCGGCTGCGACGTCTTTCTTGAGCGATGAGAGGTCTCCTGTGCGGGATTGGAGATCCGAGACCTGCTGTCGGAGGGACTTGATGACTGCGTCTTGGTCTAATTTCGTGTCAGTTGGTGTCTGCAGCTTAAGACCATGCACAACGTACCCTTTACGGTCTGGTCGGTCCGCTTCTTGAGTAGGTCAAAGTTGGTTTCTTTCCCTGATGAAGCTGCCTCTTGGAGCGCCTCGTACTTGGCCGTCATAGCGTCCAGCTTCTTGGTGAGATCTCCCACTTTTCGGCGCATGACCGGGTCCCGCTCAGAGTCTGAGACGCTTCCTGTCCTTCGCACTCCTGCAGACGTCCGTCGCGCCCTGCTGTTTGGCTGTGCGTGTGCTCGACGTGCAGAAGGCCGCACTGGCGGCGGCATGCTCTCTGGTATCTCCTCCATTTCTATCGACTCTGAAATGTCCATGGCATCTGCGTCTGGCTCGGGCTGTGTCTCGGGGATCGTCATCTGCTCGGGCTCGGGTTCAGGTTCCAGCGCGCGTTTTGTGCCTCGTGACTTTGCAGTCGGCTTGGCCTTGGTCTCCTTCTTCTCTACTGCCTCCTTTGCCGCGGGTTTGCGTCCTCTCTTTGCTGGCGGCGGCGCAGCCTCTTCCTCTTGCGTTTCCTCTTCTTGCGCCTTCTTCGCTGGCCTGCCCCTCTTCGTTGACTTGGCTGGTGGCGCCGGCTCGTCGTCGTCGAACCCGTCCACCTCTTCCGTTTCGCTGCCGTTCGCATCACCACTCTCTGCCTGCGCCTTGCGACCGCCCTTTGCCGACGCCTTCTTCGCGCCAGCCGCCTTCTTCTTCATAACTACCGCACTGGTCCCGCTCGTGCGACGCGCCACAGGCCTCCCCTTAGCAGGCGCTTTGGTCGCAGCAGCGCTGGATTTGGATTGCGCAGCACTTCCACGCGCCTTGCGCCCCTGCGCTTTGCTGTCGCCGTTGGACTCTGGTGTCGGCAGCGCATTGAGCTCGTCGAGCGTCATTTCGTCTTCCGAGGCGGAGTCGACCGTAAAGGAGATGTTTGCGACTTTGCTGCGAGGCGCCATTTTGTGCTCACTGAAAATGTTGCGTGCAAAGAGGGGGGCAGTCTGTGGCGCTGCTTGGGTGTTTGGCGGGACGATGGTGGAGTAGCACGCACGTAAGTAAACATGGCCCGAGCGTCCATGCGCGTGCTCTCGTGCCCGCCCATGTGGGATGCAAGTCGAAGGCTTTGCAACAAAACGATACATTGACGTGACAAGTCTTGCTCATCATCATTACTACGTACATACTATCTACATGTGCGCGAGACGGGCTCTGCGCTCTCAGCTAAGGTATCATCCCAGGGTGTATAGTCCTCCATAAACGCCAGAAAACAGGCCTACTCGTAAAATCGTAACTTACCGTCCTCGTACTCACTTTTCACATTACCATGATACACTGCAGCATCATTGATGCACTGCAGAAGAGTTCGTCTAGCGTCCCACGCTGCTTCCGCCCCAGTTGCTCGGCGCCATGCTGCTGAGCTTGCTCGAGATGGTGCTGCCCGAAAACCAGCTCGACGATACGCCGCCGCCGAAACCAAACTTCCACCACTTGTTTCGGCCGTACTTTCTGCCTCCGCCGAGGCCCGTCCTGTTGCTCTTCTTGTCGTCAATCTTGTCCTGCCACTTGAGCTTCGTCTCCATGATGGCTTGGATCGAGTTGATGACCAAGAAGGTGGTCGATCCAATGGCACGGAAAAAGGCAAGGGCGGCGACAGCCCACAGGATAAACGTGAGATAAAAGTTGTTTGTGACCTTGCGGTCAGAGTACGCTTCGCTGACCGTCATGGCGAGGATAGCGTTGGAAATCATCCAGATGACCACCATGTACGTACGCACAGCGCGGTAGTAGTCCTCCTGCTGCTGCGATTCCGAAATGGGCGTCTCGGGCACTTCGACGCGGTCGCGGAGGTTGCGGAGGGCTTCATCGTACCCGCTGTCAATGTCGAGTTGCTCCGACGGCATCTCCAGTTCGACTACGTTCTTCGTCTTTCCCCTGGCGTCTCCGAGATCCGTCTTGGCCACGTTGTCTCCCTTGGTTCCCCACGTGATGTCGTGCGTGTTACAGAAGGCGTACACCTGGAGTGTAGCAATGTACGAAGGCAGGAGGGCAAAGTACTGCGCGCTCGAGGTAAACATGTGCCAGGGATCCAGGTACATAAACGACATGAGGAAGTAGAGACCAATGGTTGTTGCCGTCGAGATGATGAGGTTGGTGAAGACATTGTTTCCGATGCTCTTTTCGGCCTTGGGGTCTTTGAGCTGGACAATGACAATGTAGAACGAGGCAAAGGTCGTGTATGCCATGATGATGCCGTACATGACCATGCTCCAGAAGAACATCTTCTTCGCACCCTGGGGCCGGTTGCCCATGGACAGGATGAACTGCATGCAGATGAGCAGCGTGCACGTGTACCGCAGGATGAAGAAGATGTATTTTCCAATGTTGTGTCCGAACGGGTCCATCTGGGGATCGGACAGGGAACCAGCGACAAAGTAGAAGGTGAGGTAGAAGTTGGCCAGGGAGAAGAAGGTGAACAGGAGCTGGACGAATTGGTAGACAAATTCGATGTGGAGGAGGATCTTGCGCCAGATGGTGTGGTCGGTGGCCCACACCTGCTTGAAGTGGAGGAGCGAGTACACGGCCGCGAAGAAAGCACCGTTCAGCCAGCGTCGACGCTGTGAAATGAACTCGGGCACCGCGTCTGCCATGTGTTAGTACGGGACTCGGCAACGGCAAATGGCAACTTACCTGGCACATCCGTCTCTCCAGTGGCCGCCTTGACATACTTCAGAACCCATTGTTCGCTCCGCTTGGCCACCAGCTCCCAACACAGGATACGATCTTCAGCCAAGTACATGTTGGCCGTGAACACGTCTGCATCTTGGCCGTGCAGCGTCTCTCCCTTGAAGTACTGGCTAAGGGGACCATGGCCTGTGTGGTCGTTCTGCAGCGCGTGATAGCGATATGCCGACAGCGCACCGGGCAACACCGTAATGTAGCCAAAGACCGACTCGAGGGGCTTGTCGAGAATGTTGGACATTTTGTACTCAAAGTTTTGCGACGCAACGAGCGGGTTCAACAGGCCGAGCCAGGCTTTTCCCTTGCCAGCCTTGATCTCTCCGGCTGCTCCAGCGACAGACGAGTCGGTGTCGAATGCCTTCCAGAGATGGTACAGCGCCTTGGGGCCGGGCTTGGTTCCCACGTCGAGCAATATGCACACATTAGGGTTGAGGGCGCGTCCAAAGGCATTGAAGAACCAACGGTGCGAGTTGAGCTTCTTGGTGTTGCGCTCCTTCAGACAGAAGATCATCTGGCACGGCACAATGCCCTTTTCAGCACCCTTGAACTTGAGGTCCGAGTCCAGCGAAACCTGCGTCGTGTATTCGTACACGTGGGCCGTGACCTCTTTCTGGTTGACGTGGTTCTTCGCAATGCCCTCCTGGAAGCAGCCCATGGCGGCAATGGCATCGAGTGTGCGCGGGTGCACCTTTCCACGGCCGTCGGCAATGATGCAGACGACAATCTTCTGCCACCCGTCCTTGCCCCATGTTCTCGACTTCATACGCGAGCAAAAGTGGCTGATGTTCTGCATGACGCCGTGCATGGTGCGGGTAAAGTCGATCTCGTTCTCGTTGTACATGGTGATGGCGATGAAGACCTCGGTCTCGCGCGGGTTGCCAATGTTCTGGCGCAGCTTGTAGCCACGGTCGACAAAGTCGTCGGGGTCGCACGTCACGGCGGTATACCGCATGTGGGTAAACTCAATGTCATCGCGCCGCGGCAGGAAACTGTAGAGAATGGTGGGGATCTTGCACTCGAGGATGAGCTCACCGTTGATGAGGCGAACCTCCTTCTTGGTCATGACGGCGTTGCGCGCACCGCGGCGTGCCTGTGCGCCGTCGGGCGCGGGCCCATAGTGCTCGGCCTTCTCGTCTGCCTCGGTGTAGACGTCGGTGTAGGTGTCGTCGGTCATGTACGAGTCGCGCGACCGCAGATCCGGGCGCTCGCCGTCGACTTCGGTGAAGGGGTCGTCGTCATGGTCGTGGTCGTGCATGGGCATCGAGCGCATGTCGCTCATGTCCATGGTGCGCTCCGAGTCGCGCGACGTGGGCCTCGCCCCGCCGTGGAACAAGGGCTGGGGCGGCAGCGGCCGCTCGGGGCTGCCTGGGCGGGGGGTGCCATGGAGGTCGTAGGGCTCGTACGAGTTGACCGAGGCGGGCGGGCGCGAGTAGTCGACAGAGGTGCGCGTGGGCGAGTAGGGGCGGTCGGGCGACAGCGGGCGGCGGTAGGGGACATAGTCGTCGTCGAGCGGCGGGGGCATGGCCGGGGCATTGTCCATCAGCGAGGGCGTCCGCGAGAGGCCTGAGGCCGACGAGGGCGCATGCTGCGGCTGGTACATGCGCGAGGAGGCGGGCTCTTGGTGTCTGCGAGAAGGGTGCAACGGTAAGTCTGGGTCTTGCAAGGGCGCGGTCCAGTCAATGGCGTGCGTCGTCGACGTGTTGAGCGCATCGCCCGCCTCGCGCAGGAAGTCGTGGATATCGGCCTCAGCAGCGCGCTGCTTGCCCACCTCCGAGGGCGTCATGGGCACGCCGAGGGCGGCGGCACGGCTGTTTACGCTCGACATGTGGGACGTGTCCTCGAGCGAGGGGCGGCGTCTGGGGCAGGATAAGACAGAGTGGAGGAGAGGACCAGGCGCCGACCAGGAAATCTGCTACTTACGACACATAGCTGTCTTCGACGTTGGTCAACAGGCGCATGGTTGAGCCCGCGTGCAGCTGCTGAGGGGAGCCGTCCTCGTCATCGTATGCAGGCGGCCGTCCATAGTGTGTACCGCTTGGAGTCGTGGGTCCGTTCATCATGTGTCGGTGAGCGTCGTCGCCCTAAAAAATAAAAAGAGGCCCCGAGGGCGGAGGAGCTTGTCGCGGCGTCGTGGCAGCTCTCCGGGGAAGCGATTGCGGTGCCTGGGACGGTGTACAAGTAGCGGCGGTGCCGGGGGGAATTGGGGGGGCTGGTGGTGCGGCGGCTGGGGAATGCAATGGCGGCGGCGGCTCACCTGGCAGTCGATGGTGGTGATGGTGTTGACTGTGCCGCCGTTGTCGTGCCAACGTTGCAGCCGCCAGGAACACGCCCACTCACGCAGTCAGGCATCCGTCCACAGACCCCAGATTGTGATTACGGCCCACAGCACAGCCGTATGGAGTCGTCCGGCAGTGCACGTCGTTCTAGGCGCTGTCGATTGGGCTGGATGTGGCTAGAGATGCGGGCGCAGCAGGCCCACGTCGCACACGGGAATGCCGCTTCGGGAACGTCGCCCAGGACAACGACTCCAGGCACGCACCCGCTTACCCGTGGAACGCGCACGTCATATACACACACATACACACTGACATGCATGTCCACATACGCCGTGCATGGCGAACAGGCCGTTTGCAGGCTGCGGCGCAGAGTGTTGGGACGGGCCTCGAGTGCATCCTACATACATACTTGTTTAGTACGTACTTGGTGTACAGTACGCTTGGCATTTGCTGCTTCTGTCTGTCTATGTCCTCAGAATTCCCGCAAAGTACGCCTCCACCCCCTGCACGCCCGCCTCGTCGAGCGTGTCAATGTAGCCTACATACTGGTCTGGCCGTGCTACGACGACACAGCCTGTTTCCCGGTCCACGCCGTACTTGTTGTACGCATCTGCACCCGGCGTGTAGTAGTTGCCGTCGTCGGCGTAGACCGAGTCGTAGTCCCAGCCCGTCTTGGAGTCGAACGGGTGCAGCACATCCGGGAAGTCTGTCAGCAGCTCCACGTCGATGCGCTTCGAAGAGTGCAGCGTGAGCACGTCAATGGTCTTGACGAGGTGTGGAGCCAGGAGCGACGACGACGACAGGCGCTGGCAGAAGGCCTTGAGACGGGCGTTTTGTTGTGGGCTGGCCACGTTACCAGCAAATACCACAATGCGGAATCGCCCGTCGCTCTTCAGCTTTTGCTGGAACTCCCACACGCGCGCGTCAGACTGGTTGATGACTTGGTGGCTAGGGAACCGCATGCCCAGCTTGAGCCCAGTCGCCAATTCTTGCTTGCCGACAACCTGTGTCTTGGACGACACATCGGTTCCATCGCCCTGTTCCACTGCGTCGCCCGGCTTGCCCACTAGCATGCTCGTGCCGTAGTCGACCGACAGGCCAGAAGCAAACAGATTGCCTAGTCCGTGTTAGCACGCCATGTGGTTCGGGACGTCTGCACCTTACCCTTCACGAATGCCTGCTTGAACTCTTCCATGTTGACTCCCTCTTCATCCATGAGGTCCTTGGCCGGGCGGCCCGAGAACAGCCTCGAGAACTTGTGGTCAAACGCAATGAGGTCCTTTGCAATTCGCCGCCGTTCCGACTGGTATGTCTTGAGTATGCTCGGCTCCGCAATGCCCTTGATTACCAGGCCCAGCTTCCACCCGAGGTTGTACGAATCCTGCATCGACACATTCATGCCCTGTCCAGCCTTGGGCGAGTGCGTGTGCACGGCATCGCCAGCCAGAAACACTCGGCTATCCTTGTCAAAGTTGGTGCCCACGCGCTGGCCAATCTGGTACGCAGTCCACCAGTCGCAGTATTCGTATGACAGACTGTATGGCGCAAGGATCTTCTTTGCCGCTTTGAGAATAGTGTCGGGTGTAATCTTCGATCGGTCTGCTCGGCCGCTGGCGTCTGGCTTGATTTCTGTAAGCTGAATGTAGAGACGAGTGAGCTTCTTCTCGCGCGGAATCACCATCATGGAGCCAGCATCCGCGCTGTGTATAGCACAGCGCTTCCGGATGTCTGGAAAGTCCGTGATGGGGATAATGTCCAAGACTCCCCAGATGTGGTCGGTTGGCTCGCCCTCGAGCTGGAAGCCCAGCTGCTTTCGCGTCCAGCTGTGAGCGCCATCGCAGCCTACAACATACTTTGCCCTGACCGTCTCGGTGCTGCCTTGGTTCCTTCTGCTGTTTGCGATCAAATCTTCCGTGTCGTCTTCGGCCAGGTTGCTCCGAAACAGTCCATCGTTGACGGCAGACCCCTTGCTCTGAACAGGCATGGCCTCTTCCTCGCTCAAATAGCGCAGCTGCACGGTAATGGGGTAGTTGCCCGCTGAATGGTCGTGGATCCGGTCTTGGTCGATTTCCAGCGCCTCGGGTAGCACGCCGCGCTCCACGCGCAAGCTGTCCTTGGAGTGCTTCTTGATGTGGTCAAGGAAGAAGCGCTCGATGCGACCCTGGTGGAGGACGATCTCGGTGAAGCGTGACAGGCCTGGCGCTACATCTGGCACCCGGTCGGAGCGACGAATCAAGCCATCTTCACCCGGGTTCCACATGCAAAACTCGAGCAGATGGTTCGCCTCCTTCCACACACGGTCGGCGAAGCCAAAGCTATCAAAAATCTCCAGACTGCGCAGCTGCAGCCCGTCGGCCTGTCCGTTGTAGATCTTGGTACCGCGCTTGTCGACTATGCGAGCGTTGATGCCGCATCTGGCCATCCATGCCGCAAGCATCAAACTGTAGGAGAAGAACAAGGTCAGCCGCATGTCGGCGCCGGAGGGGGCCATGTATGCACTCACCCCGCGGGACCAGCACCGATAATGAGACTGCGAAGACGTTAGTCATTTGCCTGATGTGCATGTGCATGCAGCGAATTGAACTGACACATCGCATTCCGACTCTATGGAATCCGGGACGGCCATGGTTGATATGTTTGTCTGCCGGCTTGCTATGCTTGCTTCTGATGCCCGATGTTGAGGCTATTCCGCGCTGGCCAGGTAGTGAGATGAACAAGAAGAAAACGGCACCATGGCCAGGGTCGAGGGTCGCCTCTGCTCATATACCTTTCTGCCCAAGCTACACGCCCGCCTCGGCCTGTTGGACGTGTAGCAGTGCACAAGCACATCGGCAGCTCAGCATGGGAAGTGTCGAGAGCGTTGCGCGGCTACCCCACAACAAGCTAGGTGTGGTTGGGGTCAAATGACGCAGCGCGGCCAGTAGTGAGGGGGCTGATTCGCATAGCAAACCATGTGGAGCCGATGTGGACACTTGGCGCAGACTGCTTTTTGGAGTTTGTCAGGGCTTTGTCAGTTGCAGCATCACCACCACACGTCCTGGCCAGCTTTGAATAATCGACCTACTTGGCCTGACGGGCCGAAGAGGGCCACGACGCATGCGGTCCAATCGTCGCTGTGCAAACAACAGCCATCGTGGAGTGCATACGAGACAGCAAGGTTTGCAGCAGCCCGGCCGTGGTCCTGGTACCCATCTCTGGGGGGCGGCTCTTGGAGGCGGCTGTCAGTCGTGTGCACAAGCCGTCGTCTCTCCATTTGATATGTACAACACGTCCCGTCTTGTGTCTTTGACTAGAACCAAGTGTCGGATCGTTCGGATACTCACTCCACATCCCGTCAACCGCAAGGACCACGTCTGAACTTTAACCCAAACACATGCTGTCAGCAGAGGCCGGTGAGATTCGTCCTCCAGTCGCCGCCGCCCATACAAGCTATGTACTCCCTCGCCGGCCTTGGGTTGAGTTTCGCGTCGTAATTTCGCGTCGTCATGCAAACCGTCATTGCGTTTCAGGTGTTGTAGATGGTACGCACGTGAAATCACTAACACAGGACGACCTGCCCCAGTATCCCGAAGTGGCCTGGTATGTGTGCCAAGGCCGTACAACGACCACGGCGCCATCGGCCCTTCGTTGTCCCGCTTCCAGCATCCGACCTCACCCATCCTCTTGGCCTATCCGAGGCTAACGACTGGCCTGGACATGTCTCGGCTCACTCGAGGGGGAAGAGCCTGCACAATCATGGCAGACACCGCATGGCAATCAACGTGTACGGGACGAGCCGAAAGTGTAAGTCAGTCATCCACCGCGTGTGGCTTGAAGACGCAATGCCAGTACTGTCCATCTACCGACACTAGTCTCCGCCTTGTTCGTGTGCCTACATGTATAGGTGTACTGTATTAATCACGAGTCCCGAAATGGCGACAGAGCCTCTGGACCCGCATCACACGATCACGTTGAAACTGTACCTTTCGGCCAATCTGGGGGCTAAAGTGTTTTTTCCCGCCATTATTGTTTCAAGCACGAACTGGGGTATAGTGCAGAAAAAACAGGTGGAAAAGCAACAACTGCTGAGCAACGCCCAAAGCTCGGGTCAACGCCTCTCAGCCCGTTACGGACAGCAGCAGAGCACACAGTGCACAGTCTACACATCGGTAGAGCCTAGTCGTCTTGTGGCGAAGGCCGCCGTCTCTGCATGTACGTGGTCACCTCTGCAAGTCTTTGGTCAATGCTGGACAAGATGCGAGCCTGGCCCTCAGCGCCATTGACTGCGGCTCGATCAAACCAGGCCTGTGCAGCCCGGAGTTCTCTTTGGGCGTTGGTTAGCCGTTGGTGTCGATCTGCAACAGAGACCCTGTTGGCTGGCCTGGTTTGTGCACATGCTGCTGCGTCCCAGTCTTCCTCAGCGCCGGTTCCAGCTGTGAGATTGCTGATCCACAGAGCAACGTTGCCGCGAAGCTGCAAAAGATTGGCTTGTCTGTCAAAGGGCGGCGATGCAATCACTTGGTCAAGACGCTCCGCAATCTCCATGGCCTGGGCCAGTTCCTCTACTCGAATCGCCTCGTCCTTTGCGCCAAAGTCGGTGGGCCTGTCGGCAGCATCACCAGCACTGGATACGCTTCTCGGAGAGTGTGATCTATCTGTGCGTTCACCTTGCAGCTGCCGCCTTGTACGCTTGGACTTTTCGCATACCTGGTAGATCCACAGCGAAAACATGGCCGGGTAGAACATGCGCTCGTCGACGGCATGCGGCAGTGTCTTGCGGTTGGGGTGCTGGATGATGAGCCGATCGTAATACTCCCGAGCCAGCTCGAATGCCTCTTCCGAGAAAGGGCCCATCTCGCCAACGTGGGTTTCAGCCTGCATGTCAACGCCTGCATTGTGCGGTGTGCGTCGAAGAGCTATCTCTGCGCCCACGCCCCAGCGGCCATGATTGCGAGGATCCACAGGGTGGCCGCCAGCAATCTGGGTGCGCAGAATCATGCCCCATGCGCGGCCAGCACGGTCGTAGTCGCCTCTGAGCAAGCAGCAGTGCATGAGCGTGGTGAGGTTGTCGAGATGGGCCCTCTTGGAGGCATCGGGCTGGGCGTGGGTGTCGGTGGAGGCGGGGTCGACAGCATACAGGCGGACAGGCGCGCTGGCCAATTGCTCGTGGATGGCAGTGGGCCCATGGGGGCCTCTGGAAACGCTGGCAGGCGCGTGGGGAAAGGGTGGTCGGGGCACGTCGTGTGCGTGGCCAGGCAATAGGCCTGCGACACGCAGCTGTGCTTTTTCGGGCGCAGCCGAAGCGGCGGGCGATTGAGCTGTCGAGCGTGGATATGCTTGCTCGTGCGGTGCGTCTTGTTGGTCACGGTCACTGTCGTCGTCGATGGGCTCTGGGTGGGATTCGCCTAGGTTCCTTTTCTCTTTGCTTTTTCGGGCCTTTTGGTAGTGGGCGGCGCGCAGCGAGCGAGACGGGTCTGTTTGGTCGCGCAGCTGCGAGGTGAAGTAGGGCATTGTGGTGGTGGTGGTGGTGGTAGTAGTAGTGGCAGCGGCAGCCGCGGTGATGATGATGATGGTGGTGGTGGTGCAAGCAGGCCTGGGCGATGATGCAGCCGCTGTATGTAGTGTACGCCTGCCTACGCGCAGGCGCAGCGGGGCCCCTTGTTGCAGCGCTGGGCTGGTCGAGGGAGCGGTGAGGCTCTGGCTAGCGACAGTGGCGCTGGAGACGCGACAGGACGCGGAGGTTGTCGAGGGGCGAGGGGCGAGGGGCGGGCGTCTCTCCTAGCAGCCTCAAGCTGTGTGGCAGCATGTTTCAAGTCGTCGAAGGCGAGGCAGGCGCACTCGACAGCCGTAGCCCCAAAGCGCCTAGCGCCCTGGCCGCCTGGGGGCGAGGCGCAGCTGCGCCCTACTGCTGCTGGCTACTGTATGTACTACATGACCGCCTGGCCGCCGCCGCCGCCGCTCTGCTGCTGTTGCTGTTGCTTGTTGGCTGGGCACTCGCTGCTCCGACTGACTAACTGACTAACTGACGGACTGGCGGACGGGCGGACTGGCTGCCACGGACTGCCACCCACTGCCACGCTCTGCCACTCACTGCCTGCCTGCCTACCTGACTGACTGACTGACGGCCACGGCCACTGCCGCTCCTCGACCTCGTCCCTTCGCCCACCGCCCACCGCCCACCACCACCACCACCACCGCCGCCGCCGCCCGCCCTTGCTGCTTCTGCACTCGCTCCTGCCGCCCTGCACTCCCGCTCTTCCTCTCCCTCCCTCACGCCTTCCTTCTCTCGTGAGGCGCGCCTTCCCTCCTCCCTCCCTCCCCCCGCCGCGCCTTCCTCCCCCGCCGGATGCTCGCTCAGAATGGGGCAGGCACACTCCAGAGGCGCTCCTGACGCCGATGCCCGGCGGCGACGACGACGCCCGCAGTCGTGGGCGCCCGACCTGCTCGCCTCGCCCTTGCCTCCAATGATGATGCCGCTGGAGCCTGAATCAGCCAGCACCGCCTCGCCGTCGTCGACACACGCCGTGCCAGAGCTCGCGACCAGACAGCAGCGCCTCACCACCCCGTCGTCGGCCTCTCGCCGCTTCTCCCACCGTCTCTCCTCGCACTTCGGCTGGCCCGATGCCGCCTCGCTGCCGCCCCCCGACCAAGAGGCCGCCGCCCCGCCCCCCAGCCGCTCGCGCGCGCGCCTGCATCGCGCGCGCTCGTCGCTCAGCTCCATGGCGGGCCTGCTGCACCGCCGCTCGTCGCACGTCGCACGTGACGTGGAGCCTGCTCCGCCCTACCTCCCGGCCGACGCAGCCTCTCGCAGCATCGCGAGCCGCCCGCCCCTCGCCCACCACGCAGCAACCGACCGCGGGCCTGTCCTCCCCCGTGTGCAGGTGCCCGACCTGGGCCTCGACTTTGACCAGCTGCTGCGCTCCAACTCGCCCGTCGACCGCTCTGATACCACGCATAGGCAGCGCCCGCTCGTGCCCTTGAGCCCGCTGCGGCGCGATGGGAGGACACTTGGCATTATTCCCGCCCAGCGGCGGCTACGCAACATGATTGGGCACCAGCGCAGGCGACGCTCGCTGTGGCACGAGGGCGAGAATATGGAAAACGTCCAGCAGCTGCGCCAGGGCGAGGACCAGGCCGACGTGCTGTCCCGGCTGCTCTCGCTGGCCGCCGCTGCCACGGCCGCCTCGCTCGTGGGCGACGACAACCAGGCGGCCACGCGCGACGGCACCTTTGATACGTTTCTCCAGTCGCTGCAGAACGGCAGCATAGCGTCGGCATTGCGTGGCAACGATGACGGCGCCGGTGGCGACAGCCCAGGCGCCGCTTGACCAGCTTCCGTGCCTCCTCATCCGCCTCAAAGTCACATAAGCACACGAGGCAGCGTGCACCTGGAACAAGATGAATGGATTCGTCGCCCTCGGCAGCCTCGGCCACGAGCACACCGGCATTGCTGTGGATCCTGAACAGACCAGGGGCTGAAGCCACATCCTCCTCACTTGCAACCGGCGGCTTTGCAGGTCCCAGAATCGACGAGAGCAGCATCATGTCCTCGTATGTCGGCGAGTCAGTGAAGAGACTCGGAGTCGTCAGGATGGGATGATTCTCAGGATAGCTGCCTCCGAGCACGTAGATGATCCAGCTCCTCGAGCCTTCGCCGGGGTTGTTGTCAGGCTCCACCACGCCTCTCCTCCGGGGTGCACCCGCACCATATCGTGTAAAGTCGGACTCGCTCAGCCGACGTGGTCGGGCGTTGCGCGGGTGCGCTTGCGGCTCTTCTGCCGTCGGTTCCAGGGTGGATCCAGCGCCTCTGCGAATAAAACTGTTCCGCCGAGAGGGTGCTGATGATTGTGTCGTGGGAGACGGGGGCGAGGTAGACGTGGCAGGTGTCGTGGCACCCGACGGGCCAGCCGAGAGGTTGAGCGTCGTTGCTGGTGTCGACGGCGGAGGTTGGGGGCCTGGTGGGGAGTCGGTGACAGACGACCATGGGCGGGGACGGTCTTGGGCATTTGCACGGTGTTGTCGTTGGCCATCGTGGCTCGTGGGAAAGTTGAAGCCGCCCATGGACGCGCGCCGCCGGTGGCTGAAGCGAGTGCCGTTCTGCGGTGGTTGGATGATGCTTGCGTCACCGGGTGAAGTCGGGGGAGTCGGGAAGCTCGAGAGGGCGTCGAGGAAGGGCGGAATGCTGGCGTCTTCTTGTCCCGTGCCGCTGCCCGGCTGAATGGAGCGGATGCCCACAATGATGATGGGCACCATCCTCCCCTCGCCGTCTTCGTCGCCGTCTCCGCCGCTGGCCGAAGGACTGCCGCGGCCGCCATTGGCGTCGCCCCGTCCGCTATCGGCGGCAGTGCCAAAGCGAAACATCCTGAAGAAGTTGAGGGGCGCCTGGCTGCGAACACATGTTCCACAAGATCTGCATTGACCAGGTATGTTTTGCACAGACTGATTTGGAATGTGTGTGCGCATGCTAACTCGCTACAGTGGCTAACCACCGGCCGCAACTCGTGCCCCCTCTGCCGAGGCGAAGGTGTCCACGAGACAGCCAAGGATGCTGATGTTCCGCCTAATGTCACTACACCGTCGTTACCGCAAGCAGCAGCTTGATTGATTAGTCGTTTGTTAGGCCCACCTTTGGTCTCCATGGTGAGGGCCTCGCTCGGTTCTTTATATATACCCCTTTCCTATGTCAACGGCCCTCTACACTTTACTGGATACAGGCGGACACGGTATCACGCCCTTTTCATTTACTGCGAACTGAAGCGTTTATGGCGTCGGCAATGTTTCTCGAGCGAATATCGGCATCTCTGGCATCACGGCATCTCAGGAAGGAAAGCAGGCGTGGGAATGGAATCATGGCTCTTCTTTTTTTTTACCTTTCTTCTCCTCTCTTCACAGATTTTTTTTCAATTGGCAGAGGGATGCAAGCATGTATACACGAATTTCCTATACATCTCTCATGGCCTTGTATTTTGCGGTAGGATGAGAGGCGAGGAGAGGCGAGGAGAGGGAAGGCAGAGAGGGAAGCGCTGGCCTAGTTGGGGATTTGCATCGCCATGACGAGCTGCCATGCTTGGCTTGAGAAAAGCATAATGAAGCAGTAATAATGACGAGAGAGGTTGATTAGACAGGGTGATTGTTGCCAAGCGTGATGCCTGTTTGGTTATTCGAGTGTAATGTTTTGGCCCTGGGGGTGAGGGGAGTTGAGTGAGTTTGGTGGCTGCTTGGCTGCGTTCCTGATGTTTGTGATGGATGGATGGATGGATGGATGGAATGCACGTTATTTGTTATCGATGGACGCATGTATATCAATCTTCTCCCTCATCGACTGTATGTATCTGCATCGAATAATGTAATTCACCTATACTGTACTATAATCATAATAATAACAATAATGCTAATAATAATGATAATACCCGCTGTATAATACGCTATATTCCCCCCCCCCTCCCCCTAAGCACATATAGTCAGCAAGCTATCACCGTTCCCCCCCCCCTATCTATATATACAAGTTTACTTAGGTAGTTAGTTACTTGGTTAGTTACGCACGGAACTATGTTACGGTTTTTAGTTTGCAATTATGCCTCGTGCATGCAAAAAAAAAAACTCTACTTAATATCTGTAGGCATATGGACATGTGTACATACTTGCATACAATACATATCTTGGTATAGAATGCGAGACTTGCGACTTGTAGATTAAATGTAGACCCCCCCACTTGTGGAGAATGAAAGCTGTGGCTGTTCTAAGGAGGTTTGATGGTGGCATGTGGAGTATGCTTTGGGGAATGGGCGGGGCGGACTAGTAGTAGTAGCAGTGCAGTGTAGTATATGTATGTATATGTATGTATATGTATCGAGTTACGGTGGGTGTGTGTGTGTGTGGCAAGGCTAATATGTAACTATGTAGGTGTAGGGATGTGAGCGAGTGTGTGTTTCTTGGCTGATGCTGCTGCTGCTGCTGCTGCTGCCCTTCGGACGGAAGCAAGGCATGCAGCTAAGTCCGCCACCCCCCCCCCATCCACCCATGCCAAGTCTATCTCCATCTAAGGCTAACCAAGCCAACCGACTAACTCAGCCCTAGGATAAAACAAAGGATGAATAGCTGGATAAAGTTTTGGATTTTCTTCATGCTGCCTGCCTTGATTGCTTGCCTTGGTTGTTTTTTTCACTCTCTTCTCTCTCTCTCTGTGTCTTGCTCTTACTCACCGACTCTCATCTCTCTCCCTCTCTCTCTCTCGGTGGTACTACTAGTGAGCGGGGGACGGGGCAAGGGGGGGTGAATGCTTGATCTAAAACTAATTTTTTTTACTTTGGCTCACTTTTCAAAACTGAGATGATCAAGTTGGACTAAGACACGGACGGCATCATTAAAATATCCTGGTCTTGTTTCGTGTTGTGAGGGGGGGGGTGTGCTTCCACTTCTGTTTCGTTCTCTCTCTCTCTCTCTCTCCGCGGAACAAGGGCACAGACACACATGATGATGTATGTAATCACCGTGGGAAGGAGTGTTGTTTGGGTATCGGGCTGGGTTGGGCGTGATATAGGGGAGGGATGTTGTCGCTGGGTCACGGGAGCGCGAGTACCATATATGCACATGCGTAGACGCAAGGAAGGATACCCGTAGTAGACGCAAAGAATGAGGCGGAGGAATTGATGGGCGGGCGGGTGGATTGTTTTTTGTGTGTTTGGGAGTGGAGACTTGTCGTGATACTAGATGGATGGATGGATGGGCGGATGAATAGATGGGTGGGGACGGCTGATTTGGAATGATAGAGTAGCAGTTCGTTTCACGGGCCTGTTGCCTGGTTTGGGGAGGTTGTTTGACGGCTATTTGCTCATGTAGCATGTACGTATGAATACATGTGCACTTGCTACGTAGGATTGAGGCGTGGGTCCCCCCGTTGGGGCGCCGTGGGTCCCTGCGTCGTCGCTCTGGAGCTTTGTACGTAGTAGTAGCAGCAAGTGCCTGGTAGCAGCATGGTGGATAGGCTTATCCGTGCATCACAGATGGTTGTCTTGCTTTTGCGCACGTACTCTGCAAAATTATCATGCCATGTCGTGGTGTGGGTTGGCACAGGTGAACAGGACATTTGACGCATTCTGGCACGCCCATGCTGCAGAATCCCTGGCCTTAGCAGTCTGGGGGACGCAAGATTTTTTCTTCTCGGCCAAAAGTCACCGCCGCCCTTAGCACACAGCAAGATGATGATGATGATGATGATGATGATGATAATGAAGAAGAAGGCATCGTTTGCACGGGTCACTGTCAGCTATAGCGTCTCTTTGTCCAACGGCCGTATCCACTGCCGATACTCTTACTCCCACTCGAGCATTCCAGTCGACTTTGGGCCTGGCTCGGAAATTACAAGTATAATGCCGACTTGGGACCATGGCCGAGGTTAACGGGTCGCGGGGGTGAAGAGGACACAGGTCAAAGTCGGCCAGTTTGTAGCTACACGCACACGTACGGGCGCCAGGAGCCATTCTCAGGGACCAGGTACGCATGGGGGTTTTCCTGGCCATATGGGCCGCGGCGACAACTTGTTCGGCCAGGCAAGGCAAGGTGGAGAGAAAGGGCTGGACTGCAATAGTGCCGATGGCAAGACCCTTTGAATGACGTTGATGCTTGAGGCTCCATCTTACTGGTCGCTGGTGCTGCCAGGCGTCTGGGGGGGAGAGGGGGGAGAGGGGGGGGTTGCCCGTGGCCTCGCAAGCAGGCGCTGTTTGCAGCAACGCGGCGAGAGGGAGAGGGAGAGGGAGAGGGAGAGAGATAGAGATAGAGCGAGCGAGGCCGCTGCAGGTGAGCGCTTGCGGAGAGTTTGGACGACTCTCTTTTGCTTGTTTTGGTGGATGGGTGGTGGTGGTGGTGGTTGTCGGGTCCAAGCTCGGGGGTGCAGGAAGGGCTGACCCTGTCCATAAACCAGCCACACGTGGGTCCACGGTGCCTTTGCTGACCTGCGAGGGGGGGAAAGAGCGAGGGGGAGGGGGGGGGCAAGCACGCATTCACCCACTCCCTCACTCCCTCACTCCCTCCATCCCTCCATCCCTCCCTCCCTCCCTCCCTCACCTCTCCCTCTCACGCCCACTTCTGCCGTAGCCCCAGGCAGACCGCCCTTCACTCGCCCGCCGCCTGCACGACGCGCGCCACCAGCACAGGCGGTCCGCACTTGGCGTGCACCTGCGGCAGACGGACCCCTCGCAAAACATGGGCGAGAGCGTCGCCAGTGCCGTCAGACGCTGCACGGCATTGCCATGGCCAAACGTCAAGCAGCTTACCGGTCGTGTCTGGAGCTGCTCCTTGCAAATGAGATGCGGTGTCAACCATCCAGAGGGCCCACGGCCCACGGCCGCCATGGCTGATGGCGCACCGCAACACTGACGCACGGCTGTTCGCAAACCTCGACCACTCAGCTGTGCCCGGCTGCCTGACTCGAGCATCCGCCGTGGGCTATAGGGCAGAAACGTGACATGGACGTCTGCTCAGGCCCATGGCCATATCGCTCTATAATGGAATGGCCCCGCCTGCACACACGCGCACACGCGCACACGCACCCTCGCCCGGCACGGCAGTCGTCGTACTGGCCCCCTTGGGCGGGCGGGCGGCCCTTATCGTGTCAGCACACATGGAGGATATTTTGTCCCATGCCAGTCTGATGATGATGGTGCTGCTGCTGCTGCTGCTGCTGCTCCAGACGGCGCAGGACATGTGTACTGCCGCCCAAATGTGCCAGGCAGCAGCACCACCTACTCCACCACCTCCACCACCACCACCACCACCACTACGGGCACAAGCACCACCAGCGGCAGAGTGGGCAAATCCTGAATCCTGATCATGCCACTTGGGCTCTGCATGCACTCTGCGCCACTCGTCCCGCCATATGCCAGCACTGTCGCTGGCGCGCAGATGACCGCGGGCCCCCCTCCCCCCAAACCCCCCCTCCTCCACCCCCTAACCCTTGAAGAGAACGTTCTCTTGCTGTCCCCAGTGCTACCGCTGTCATGGGACTCGGTCCCGGAGCTGAGTACGAACATGCTGACATTGGGTTAGCAGCCAGATGCGGCCTCCTTCTCGAAGCAGTTCCTCATTCTCTCGTCGCCGATGTTGCTGAGTCAAGGTCCATGTGAAGGAGCCCGCGGGAGCTGCATGGCTGGCTAATTTGCAGCATCCCTCACTAGCCGTCTCTGTGCGTGCCCAAGCAGCATCAATGTCGACGTGTGTTTTTGGTTTTTTATTTTTAAATAGGCTCCTTGATGAGGCTTGAAAGTCTAAAGGCCTTCTGGCGCGGCATAGACTGCGTCGCTGCATCGGCGCAATCCCTACTTTCAGGAGGGTTGAGTACTAGACGGCAAGGCCCATGGATATACCATGCCCTGTCCTATAACTCGACGACACCATCAGGCCCGTGCGAACCGCTCCACGCACCAGTGCCAGCATCCCAGCACACGGCGGCAAATGAAGAGTCTGGGGAGCAGCAAAGCGTCTACCGGCTCTGTCGCCCTTGAGAGCCGTGTAGGGCCCCATCTTGAACATCTCCCACACACACCCACGCCCCCCCCCCCGGCGATGATCCCGCCCGCCGACTCGACTCGATCCCAGTGCTGTTAGGCGTGCTGCTCCCACCCTCCCTCCCTCGAGCAATTGCAAATCCAAGAGGGTCGAGGATCGCCTTTGCAGCAGACGGATCCAGCCAAGGGGGGAGGTCAAGCACGAACCCGGACATGATATGCGCCGGCCCCATTTCCACCAAAAGGGTGCTGAGGCATGGTGGGGCGGCCGCTCAGCCATCCACCAAGTCAGTCGTCAGCGACTGGTGGCGCGCCGATTGCGACAATGGCCAAGCAGTGCTGCACTCGAAGCGGCTGTCACAGTGCGCGCGAGTTAGCCCAGAGCGATCGAACCTGGGATTTCCAGCGCAGCAAAAGTGCAGCCTGTGCGCCCCAGGAGTACATACACTCTCGAGCCAACTAATAACCCATCAAGTAATAATCCATGGCTGCGCGGAAAGCGGAAGCGTTTAGGCGCACGGCCCACGGCGGCCTGGCAAGACAACTCAGCGGCTTGCAGCTTGCTTTTTCCCCTTTGCTGCACCCCGGCTTCTCAGATGCAGACGTTTGATGAACCTCAGACTATCCGTTCCTGGCGTCCAACATTGCTTCTTTGTACGGACTAGACACAAGGCTCTGGTCTGTGTCTCGGCCCGGCTCTCTCACACAACCTCCATCTGCGCCCTGCTGTGCTCACTCCCTTTTCCCCCTCCTCCAACATTGGCCATTTCTGGTCGCCCCTCCCCCCAGATCGGTACTGCATATGCCCTCCCGTTGTCAGCAATCCCGGCGTCGCAGTCTATCTCGCCCTGTGGGTGGCTATGTGGACAGCAGCACTCTGGCCTACCGGATACAGTACATATTTGAACCGCCTGGCCTAGGTGCTAGCTGGGGCCATCACCCGCGCGCCGAAATCAGCGTGCATTAGGCCAATCCACGGCTCCGGCAGGCGTGCTCCTCCTACAAGTATATCCTTTCAAATTCCCGTACCTGGCGCCCGAGCCATTGTCACACCCGTTGACACGGCGATCGACCTCGGACCCTTGCAACCTGAATGACGTTGGTCCTCCTACGACAAGCTGTACCGTCTCCAGACTCCTACCATTGCGACGACACTTGACACCCACCCCTTCATCACTGCGCAGCCTCTCGAGCATCCCTCCAAGAGACCATGTCTGGATATTATCCCCATCCAGGCCACAATGTCCCGCCCCAGTATTACAACATGGACCCAAACGCCATGCCAGCCTCCAACAACAACATGCAACATGCCCCACCAAGCATGCTTTCCCATGGCTCATATCCCCTAACCCTACCAGACAACCCATTCCAACCTGGAGCACCCGCGCCTTTTATGCAATACAAGAATATTGGCCAGCAGGGCTATGCTGATCAGTATGAGGATGCATCTGGTTCCATGGGCTCGGCGCATAGTGCCAACGGCCGCGCGCGCCGACGACCAGCCCCTGGGGAGCAGGTAAAGCATCGCAGAACCCGGAGTGGATGCTTTACCTGCAGACAGCGGAGAGTCAAGGTAGGTCATGTGCTCTTTTGTGCGGATCCGAATGTCGCTAACGCTGGCCGTGTAGTGTGATGAAAACCATCCCGTGTGCGAGAGTGAGTGCCTGCTTCTGCCTCCGGCTCGTCTAAACATGGGCATGCAATCTGACAGCTTTCACCAGGGTGTCACAAGGGAGGTCGCGAATGCATCTACCCCGACTCACAGTCTAGTCAGAAGTCGACGCGCACTGGCTCGAAATCGGGCAAGTCTTCGTCGGCGGAGAACATGTCGTCGCCTGAAGGGGATGGCAAGGAGCGCCTGCCTGCCATCAAGGACGAGTACGAGGAAGAAGGCTCTGTCGACTATGATGAAGATGACATGTCGCGAAGCCAGGATGCCCGCGACTCATCTCACACCCCTGGCTCGTATCTCGATCAAAGTGCCTCGCCGTCGACTGAGGCGTCATCCACGGTCCCACCAACAGTACGGCCATCGCTGTCGCGCAAGGGCAGCGCACAGCCCTCAAAGGGCCCTGCAAACATGGCGCGGGACGTCCAGTTCTACCTCAACTACTTCCGCAACCACATGTCGGTGCACCACTACGGTCTCAAACGCGACACGCACGGCTTCCTCAAAGGTGACTTCATGAGCTGGGTAATGAAGTTTGAGCCTCTCAGATACGCCGTGGCGGGATACGCTGCGTATTTCCACACGCTCTCTCAGCCGGATGGCCGCATATCAAACTTTCTCCAGTTCTACAACGAGTCAGTTTCGCGCCTGCGCGTGTCAATCGAGAAGAACAAGAAACAGGGGCTTGCCACATTCTTGACTGTGTTGCAATTGGCCAGCATAGAGGTATGGGCAATCTTGTTGTCATGATGCCGTTGTTCTAACGGTGTCACCCAGGAAATGCTTGGTGACTGGGTCAATCTCATGGGCCATCAAAAGGCTGCATTTGAAATGCTCACCCGGCTGTACACACCCGAGACAATCACCAAGACGGATTTTCTTTGCAAGGTACTCATCTGGTACATTCGATTCGACTTGTTCCTTGGATTTCAATCGGGCGGCGAGGCAACCTTGGGTCGGGAGTGGTACGTGGCCGTCCACGCTGCCTACGCCCAAAGGGCCAAGGACAATCCAGAGGACCTGGGCATGCGCTACGAAGAGCGCTTTGCTCACTCGCGATTGGCAGCAAGGGACTCGAACGATCTGTTTGCAAGGACAGGGAAAGGACTGATCAGTCCCCAAGACTTTATGGCTCAACTTCCCACCCTCCGAGAAAGAGTCGAGTCGCTGCAGAAAGAAATACCGTCCATCTTGCTAGACGCCAAGCACAAGGTCCACAGCATTCCCGGAGAGCCGGATCCCGATGGCATTACGAATCCCTATGAACCGGACCTTATCTGGGGCGGACCGCTGTGGACAACCAACTTTCTGTTCATGGATATGTGGGGCCTCCAGTTCATGGTCGCCATATCCACGTCGATGGCGTTGAAGCAGCCCGTAGATCCAGAGATTACCAAGAAGGCTTATGAAGTAGTGCAAATGTACGAAGCTATGTGCGCATACCCAGAGGCGCCTCCAGGCGCGAGACTCGAGGCGCAAATCACGTTTGCCATTGCGGCCTTGTTTCTGCCTAAAGATCCGAGGACTATGCAGTGGGTTCGTCGGTCCTTTACCAAAGTCGAAGCAGCAGGGTAAGCACACGTGTTCCGTTAAGAGCCGGAAAGTAATACTGCAAAAAGCATAACGGCACTTTCAAGCAAAACATGGGCCCCTCAAAGTATCACGCTCACACTAATCCAGATACATCTATTCGGACGTGATGCGCAATCGCGTGCTCGAGTCCATGGGCGCCACACCGTCGGATTGGTGGCTTCCCAACGACGAAGACTGCCCGCCTATCATTCGGTCGATAAAAGATTTCATCAAAGAACGTACACAAGCACCCAAAGACCAAGTCTCTGAGGATCTGCGCGAAATGCGGGGTATATTCAGCTCGCTTACCATCTCGGATTCGCCGATTTCGGACAATACCACAGTAGTAAGCGCTGACGGCTTGGGGTCTGCGTATGGCTCTCCAGACTGGCAGTCGTCAGGGTACGGAAGCGACCGGAAGCCGTCGGTCGTAGAGTCTAATCTGCCAGGGTCTCAGAAGCCGTACAGCATACAGTAATATTTTTTTTAATCTTGCTCGTATAGAATGTTTGCGCCATGTACGCTTTTGGGATGAGAAATCAGCGGGCAGGGTTGATTACCGTGCATAGGTCGAGACTGGGCGCTAAACGCATGTGCGTTTTCTCAACCAAGCCTCTCGTGCAGCATGGAAGAAGGCATGGTGCATCTGAAACGCTCTATGATGCTTATCCTCAGGCTTGGATGGTCCATGCTGGTCTTCCGAGAGGCGTTCTGTCCTACGTCGGCCGACAGATGTAACTGGGGGTTGGGCTGGGCGCGTGCGTACAAGACAGTGGCGGGTCATGCTACCACTTCTCTGTATGATGGTGGCGCAGGAAGTTTAACACCAGAACAGGAAGATTGAAGCGAGAACAAAAGGACGGGTCATGCAGTGCGACGGCCGCCGGTAATGCCGGGCCGCATGTTAGTTTTGACGTCTGGGGACCAAGGGGTGTTGGGGGAGGGGGGGGCCATGGGAGGAAGCGGCGCATTCAGAGGCCAGACACACGGCACACGAGGATGCAAAATTGGTGGAGTGGATGAGGAGGATGAAGGGCCTGACTCGCCAGATAGAGCAGACGGAGCGTGGAGTCGAGGCACGACGTTGGAGAGGCCTCCAACTGCTCTCATGGTCAGAGCGCATGAAGGGCCGTATGCGACTTTGACAACGTCAGCGGCAGTGGAGCAATGAAACAAGGGATCCGTAACAGAAGTTCTTTGCAGTTTGTGCATGTGATGGACGGCTACTGTGGGATTGCCCGTGGCTGTGCACGGGAAGATGCACGGGATGATTATACTTGGTGCAATGTGGATTTACGACGCACTTCTCTCACACGTGGGGCCAGCATGTGGCCGCAGAAGGCTAGTGATGGTCCATGTGTGTATGTGCCTCTGGTTACGAATGTGTGTAACTTGGGTCGTGTGGATGCCGCCCAACATGACTCCTGCATGCCTTGTTACAGGCTGGCGGTGAGTCAGCCAGTGAAAGCATGTCTATGTGTCTATCTATCTATGTACACACGTAAGTAGTCGACATGGGCGCAGCACGTCTGCTTTGGGACGGATCTCCGGCCAGGCTCACGCTGATCCTGTCTCGAGCAGACGCTAATCTTTGAGATAAAAGCGCCATGGTAGCCATTCATCTTGCAGCAATGGTGTGCCGATTGCAGTGCGCAACACTGGGCCAAACCTTTTGTTCCCCCCTCCTCCCCGAAACGCTATGCAGCTGTCGAGTGGGATTGCCAGACGCTTTGACTGAGCGTTTAAAAGGAGTAGACGGAGCATTTGTCGCATCCAGCAGGAGACGGCCGCAGCAGGCGTGCGCAGAGGTGGGCGGTGCGTGAAGATGGAGAGTTGGAGTCGGCCCAGACAGGCCTAGCGCCATGCAGGGATCATGCGCCGCCCTGACAGCAGCAGCAGCACATGAAAGTCGGAGGCACGACTACACCCACGTCCCGCCCACCAAAGCACCACGGACACGCTCGTGATACACGGCACTCTAGTACGCTGCAATGGACAACCTTGGCAAAATCTCGGCGTTCGGAAAGAACATCTCGTAAGTCCATGCCGACCCCCGCCGCCGCCGCCGAGTAGGAGGCCAGCGTCGTGTCGGAACCCTCAGGCTGACATGGCTGCCACAGCGCTTCCTTCACCCCCTGGGCTGCCAGGACGTCGCAGTATGTCAAGGAGACGGTCGGCAATGTCGAGGACAAGGTGCGCAGTCTCCCCCGCGCAGCGCCTCGTCCAAATGACGGGCGCCACGAGAGCGGGCGCCGTTAACACCTGTCCGCACAGACTCAACTCCCGCCCGACTATATTGAGCTCGAGAAGCGAGTCGATGCGCTGAAAAAGGTGCACACGACTATGCTGCAGGTCACGTACGCCACGCCGCCTCCCCCGTAGGTGCCCGCCATCTGACCGTCTAGCTCGCAATACTCCAACGAAGCATACGACTACCCAGCCAACATCCGCGAGTCCTTCAACGACCTCGGCCGCACCGTCTCGGAGAAGGTCAACCTCCTCTCCAACGCCACGTCGCCTGCCGAAGCCCAGGCCGCCCTCACTGCCCCGCCCTCCGCAAAGCCCCAGCCCAAGACGTTCAGCCATGCCGTTGCCCGCGCCGCCCTCAATGCCTCGCACATGCTCACCTCGGAGCAAACATCTTCCGGCGAAGACCCGCTCGCTACGGCCCTCGAAAAGTACGCCATTGCCAGCGAGAAGGTCGGCGAGGCCCGTCTGGCACAAGATGCGCAGATCCAGAGCCGCTTCCTGGCCGGCTGGAGTACCACGTTGAACACCAACATCCAGTTTGCCACGCGCGCCCGCAAGGCGGTTGAAAATGCAAGGCTGAGCCTCGATGCAACAAAGGCCACGGCCAGGGGCCCGTCTTTCTCGCTGCCCGGTCAGCCCGCCAAGAAGGATAACCTGGACGACGACCTGAGCGAGGAGGCAAGGGCCAAGATTGAGCAGGCCGAGGACGAGTTTGTTGGCCAGACCGAGGAGGCTGTTGGTGTCATGAAGAATGTGCGTTGGAGACGCCCTCTGCCAAAATCCATATACTAACGGTTCGCTAGGTTCTGGACACTCCCGAGCCCCTCCGCAACCTCGCTGACCTCATTGCCGCCCAACTCGAATACCACAAGAAGGCATACGAGATTCTGTCGGAGCTGGCTCCCGTTGTGGAACAACTGCAGGTTGAACAGGAGGTGCGTAGACATCAGTCGTCTGACTTTTAGGCAGTGGCACGAGGACCTCAACTGATGTGTTGCGGTGATAGGCTAGCTACCGCAGGGCTCGCGAGGAGTTGTAGATGGACTCTGGCGCAGAGACGCAGACAGCAGGAAAGGGTGGACATGAGCGTTAGTTGTGAGCTACTTGAGGAACGAACCAACACACGATTTTGATGGGTGCCTAGATATTGGCTACATGACATGCGTTGTACTTTTGTAGGTCAACTTTGTTTTAGACGAGTTTGGTTGTTAGTTGCGAGTAGTTTGGAACTGGTTGAATTCATTCTATTTTTCCAGACTGAATGTCAATTGTATACTTTGTGGAATGCCGAGCTGTTAGGATCAAGTCTGTGATTCTGATACACTCTCGTAAAGAGTTTATCTTTTGACAAGTTACTAGACTTGCTCGTCCTCTGTGTTGGGAAAGCTGCTGCGTTAGTAATACTTTTGATGTAGGTGAGTTGTAGAGTGGGTTCAACGCCGAAGCACCAAGTTGACTAGGTGCATGACGCAGAGTGCTTGGTATAGCACTTAGACTGCTGTCTTTGCTAGATACTACATATACGATGCAAATTCCTCACTCTATATCCTTGAAATGCCCGTATAAAAATTGCACAACGACCTTACTCGTTCGCATGCTTCATATCGTCGTTCATGCCACGCATCCATGCATGCATGCATTCATTCATTTATTCATTCAAAAACCCCACTCTCATCCCTAAACCTCGCCGCCTGCCCCCTCGCAAACTCGGCCATCTTCTCCCTCTCTTCCCTTTTCTTCTTCCCATCCTCTCCATCCTCCTCCTCCTCCTCCTCCTCCTCATAATCATCAGCAGCTATGTACTTGCGCATCACCTCGTCCACATACTCGCCCGGCACCCCGCATCCAAGCGCATCGTGGATCCCGCGGTTCATGCGGTACACGTATTCGTCGCGCGGCGTCGACGGCGCGGTGCGCACGCGGTCGATGTAGACGAGCAGGCGCTTGTTGGTTTCAGAGGGCGGCTGCGAAGTGTCGATTTTAGTGCCGGGTTCGCGCGAAGTGGCGGCCCAGAAGGAGCAGGGTAGGTATTCTTTTGTGTAGGCGATGGGCACGCCTTCGTTGATGTCGAGCCGTGCTTCGTCGCTGGGCGTGAGTGAGTAGACGAGGCCGTAGACGCTGGTTTTGTAGCGTGATGAGCCGGATGTCGCGGTGTCGGGACATGGAGCTGAGACGACGTTGGCGTAGCCCCGGTCGTTGATTAGCCATGTGTAGTGTGGGAGGAGGGCGATGCCGAGGTACTGCGAGTCGGGGCATCGCGTGGCCATTTGGTGCAGCCAGAGGTTGGAGCCGTAGCCAAAGTAGAGAGTTAGTGGGGGAGAGGTCGGAGAAGAGGTGTCGGCTTCTGCCATTTTTGAGGCAGGCGATGATGATGATGATGATGCTGCTGCTGCTGTGTAGGCCCTCGAGATGCGTGGTGTTGATAAGACGGACTCCTTCTCTTCTACTTTATCTCCACGAGTGATGTCTAGTTGTTTTGTTTGTTTTATGAGTGGTTTTTACGTGTGAACGTATCAGGTTTGTTTTGAGTGAATTTGACGTGGCACTATGGTGGATTTTGCGATCCAACAGTTTCTTCTTCTCTTTTATACGTTTTATGGGTGATTTCAATGTGCTGACGTAGCGGGTTTGTTTGGAGTGAATATGACGTGATAATGCAGTGGATTTCGTGATCCAATGTCTCCTTCTTCTTCTCTTCTACAATAGTTGAACTGTGGGATAGGGCCTCCCAGAGCAGAATCAGGGGTTCCTCTCTCGTTTATATGGTATGTGGTTGGAGATGGTTGGACTGAGCGGTTCTCTTGCACGGCAATCAATGTGGTGACCCCCTCTTAAACCATTTACATCCAAAGACCGCTTCTCAGTGTTTCAGAACGGGTATACTCGTAGATTGCTTCTTTTCTCGGCAGACTACAGGTTGGAAGACGTTCTCTGCTCTACAACAACCGACACTTGGGCTCAAAGCGGGGAGAACTGAAGAGCTTTCCATTAGCTGCGGACACGTGCTGATTCATCCAAGACGGGTGTACCGTAGTCAGCCCAACCCAGTCGACATATACCCTAGTACTATGAGGCGGACGCTGTGACAAGGCGATGGTATGTCGAATTGATGCGGCACGTGTAGTTGGGAGTTTGAGTGAACAAGTCAGCAGGCCAATCGGCATTGAGGGATTATATCACGCTCGCGTCTGCGACCACATTCGGGAAGAGACGCGAGATAGAGAAGCAAAAGTCATCGGTCTGGCTGCGAAGAGTATATATCCACTGTGGCTGTCGCCTTGCTTTGCGCGTGCAGCCTCCAGTCCAGCCGCGTTATCTCAGGAACGGCGCCCCCGTTCTGAGTTTTTGCTCGTCCCATCTTCCCGACTCGCCATACCTACTTCGACTTTCCCACGCCCGCGCCCCCGCCATGCCATACTCACATCACAGCCACTCGGGCCAGTTCTGCGGCCATGCCACCAACACGCTCGAAGAGGTCATCCAGACGGCGATCGCCAAACGCTTCCAGACGTTTTGCCTAACAGAGCACATGCCCAGGCCGCTCGAAGACTTCTATCCCAATGAGGCTGAGAAATACACGCCCCAGAGCCTCGTGGACCTGTTCGAAAACTTCCTTGCCGAGGCGCACCGGCTGAGAGACGTGTACGCGGGCCAGATCCAGCTGCTGATTGGCTTTGAAACTGAATATATCCGCCCGTCGACTCTTGGGCTCATCCGGGGCATCCTGGACAAGCACACGTTTGACTTCTTCATGGGCTCGGTCCACCATGTCCACACGGTGCCCATTGACTACGACCGCCCAACGTACGAGCAGGCCAGGGAAAAGGCGGGCGGAACCGACGAGAGGCTGTTTGAGGACTATTTCGATCTGCAGTACGAGATGCTACAGGAGCTGCGGCCGCTAGTTGTTGGCCATCTCGATCTCATTCGCCTGCTCAGCGATCACCGCGACGATGGCTTCAAAGACATGGGCGGCGTCTGGCAGAGAATACAGCGCAACCTGGAATTTATTGCTTCATATGGCGGTCTGCTCGAGTTGAACTCGGCCGGGCTGCGCAAAGGTTTGGCCGAGCCCTATCCGTGCTTGCCCATCTGTCAAGTCAGTCACACCGCCATGTGCCCGAGCCGCGGTCTTCCCCCATGCCTCCCCCCGCCCCAGAGATACTGACTTGTGTCCGTAGATGTTTCTTCGCATGGGAGGCGGTTTCGTCATGTCTGACGACAGCCATGGAGTCGACCAGGTAGGCACAAACTATGGGCGACTGCTGGCCTTTGTGAAGAAGGCAGGGATAGACCGCATCTATTACGTTGACGGGGCCGGTGAGCCCAAGGACAGTCGCTTTCCCAACGCGGGCGTTTCCAGCATTGCTTTGGCCGACCTGGAGCAGCTCCCGTTTTGGGCGGCTGTGGATTGAAATTGGCCTCGCCGTGGCTTCGAAACCCTCGTGCTCAGGTTAGCTGGGGGGCGTGTTGGTTTAATACGCCACTGACGAACTCTCCGCTGAACGTTTGCTCGGATCCGACAACCGGTGCAATCGTAGCGTCGAGCCTTCAACGGTGCTCGAGAGGGATTTTCTTTGATTACACAGGGCGCTCGCCGCGTCCCATTGGATGCCAGATAAAACACCAAATGTCCGCTGATATGGCGGGTCTGCAAATAGAAGCCAAGGCAGAGACGACGAACGAGATTAAGCTCGAGTGCTGACCACGTGCCCTTTTTTTTATCGCGATGCTGCACTCCATATGCGTGGGGGTGATCATGTCTCCACGACTCAGGCGCCCTCTGCAAGCGTATCTCCACGCAGCCAATACCACGGGCAGAAGGCTTCCCAGACCGCGTCGTTGGGCTCCCGGCTCAGCGCACAGGGCTCGAGATCGTCTTGACCAAAGGTTAGACGGTGGGCTGGAGAGCACTGCGCTGAGGGCACGGGCAGAAAGACCACGTGTAATGCCATGGGATTTGCCCTCTAGTCGAGCGCCACCCCTGTGCCGCCCTCGGGTTTTTTGTTCAGGGGAGGATAAGGTGAATTTCGCGTTTGCCGCGAGAAGCACGGTAGCCCGAAAGCTCCGCATTTGGCTGTTTCTCAACGCTACAGGCAAAGAAAAAACCACACACACACAATTGTTCCCCGGGTGGGTCTAGCTGCTCGACGGCAATCGGATGCCCTGCCGCCTCCACCGTGATTGGCAAGCTATCCTGGGCTTGGAAGCTGAGGAATGACTAGTAGCTTTGTGTGGCTTTTCCCCCTTGGCCTCGCAACCAGAAGATGGGGATTTTCTTTTGTGTCTGGCAGGGCGGGATTGGACGGTGGATTCAATGCATGCCCGGCAGCCCATTGTGTGGCGCCGAACCTTCCCAGCCAGAGAGAGCAAGACAGAGAGAGAAAAAGAGAGAAAGAGGTGGATTCATCCATTAGTGGGGGCGCGTATTCGACCGGCTCTACGTGATGCAGCCAGCGTCCCGTGAAGGACCGAACGTTGCTTTTGGCAAACGGTCCTGCATTTTCCCTACATTGTCAACCTTGTCCAGTCTGAATCTCCACGACCGCCCATTGCCAACTCGGGACGAGGATAACCGAATCAGAGCACATGTGTCCAACGTCTCTGACCATGGCGTATGCGCCGTCGTAGTATAGCTTATTCGACAGGCCCGAGCCTTACTCACGGCGCCCAGGAGCGCTTTTCCGTTTTGCTCGTGTCGTGCAACTTTCGACCAAGACGACGACGACGACGACGTACATAGACGCCCCCCCGCGGCGTATTTGCGCTTTCTGTTCCCCCATGCATGTTTAAGGTTTTCCGGCAGCGCCGTGCATCCATCGTGGCCAAGGGCTGCTGGTTCGTCATGACAGTCACCGCGCTTCGCCGCCTTGCCAAAGTGCCCCCCAAGCGCCCCGCGGCTCTTTGGCCCGTCATGCTTCCTTTTTTTGCTGCTTCTCCACCTCAGTTGCTGACATGCACTTACTCCTATTGCTGGTTCCCACCACGGTCTAAAACGAAACCCCATGGCTATAAAATTTGTTTGAAAAAAATAAAAATAACAATGAGCCAGCCCCCCATGCCCTCGACTACTACGCAAACAGCGGTGCTGGACACTGCCCTGTTGCTGCTCGGTAGTCGCGGGAAAGCTCAGAACGGGTACTACCTTTGTCCATGTTATAGGTGGAGCCCCAATCGCGTGTCAGCTAGGATCTTGCAGATGACGAACGGAGCCAGAGGGCTAGACCAACCTTACTTCTGACATCCAAAACGGCCTGAGCGTCGGGTAGGATTCCCCGAGCGACGGGCAAGTTCTGATGGCGGCTGTGGTTCGTAGCCCACAATTCCCTTGGAGCCAAAGATGTGGAACGGATGCGTATGCGAGGGAGGGGGGCTAAAGGGATATGCTGGACGCATCGGAGCACCGCAATCTATCACATAGCTTTTGCAGCAAACACCCCGGGCTGGCTTTTTTTTTCTGGTCAACGCAAAGACCACAGAAGCCTAAGCTTCTGCCACAGCATACTCCCCCGGGAGCCTCTTGCTCAAAGCACCACGCCTTGCGGCCGCTATTAAAACCTAGGGTTCTTCCACCTCCTGACGTACCCCCCCCCATTTTTGCAACCCTCCCACCTACCTTTCCACCACAACCCTCCCACGCTAGTCGTCTTGACCTGTACATACATACATACATACATACATACATACTTATCCCTTTTAACACAACACACCACAACCACAACACCTCCTTTTCCACCATGGGCGTCGAGAAGACTGTTGCAAGACCGGGCAATGGCACAGACTTCCCCAAGAAGAATGACGAGATTTGTGTCGAGTACACAGGTACCATGACCAGCACTCACCGACAACGGCAAAATCTGACTCAAGCTACAGGATGGCTATATGACGATGAGGCACCAGACAACAAAGGAACACAGTGAGTCGAGCAGACAATGCCTATGCTTGGGCGTACATGTAGATGGCCCTGCTAACCAAACGCCAGATTCGACACATCCTTGGGTCGAGGCGACCTCACAACACCCATCGGTGCAGGCCGGGTCATCCGAGGTATGCCTCCTACAACGCCATCCTCCACGTGTGCATGTTGACTGATGCCAATGCGCAGGCTGGGACGAGGGGATCCTAGGATCCGATGAGATTCCCCCCATGTCGTTGGGCGAGATAGCCACTCTGACAATAACATCGTACGTGGTCATGCCGACTTTACGAGGTCGTAATTGCATACCATTTACTAACATTACCCGCGGCACAGTGACTATGCGTATGGCTCTCGGTAAGTTTCTATCAGCGGTTCTCATGCCTTCACGATGCCGAATGCCGTCGGCAATGGATGCTCGGACGAATATCACAACGGCAAAAAACAAACGGGCGGCCTGGACCCATGACCAGAACATCAGTCGATGCATGCCACGACAATTTGGCTCCGGACCAGATTCAACATTGGATATTTGCATCTCGCGCCTATACCGCTGCAGCCGCCAGTCCGCAGCCTTGAGCGGTTTTTTCCGAGGCCTCGGAATGTTATGGAAACGATGTGACCTGATCGCTGACCATTCTGAACACAGTGGCTTTCCCGGGCACATCCCCGCCAACGCGAAATTGATCTTGTAAGTACTTCGGCCTCTTGAATCGTCCTCGGGAAAAGAGTCATACTACGTGTAACACGCGTAGTGAGAATCTGCGTTGTTCGCTTGACCAGCGCACAGCTCACCTCCCGTCCCTTCACCCCATGTCAGCCATGGCGGACGAAGACTGCCAACATCGAATCAGAAAGACTGACGAAATGACAGTGACGTTGAACTAAAGGCCATCAACGTGGTGACACAGCAGCTTAACTGCCGGATTATGCGTGAGCCGCCTCTACCGCCGCCCAACAGGATAATCGTGTCCCGAGTCGTGGGAACCAGACTTCGGTATGCCGACGTGAGACGTAACCCAGACTCGGTAAGGCTTGTCCAGTGAGATTCTACATGGCGGAATGTCGGTGTGCGGCAGTGATAGAATCCTGCCGGGCGCCTTAGGCTTCAGCCGAAAGATGGCATTGCATGCCAAAGACGACGTCAGGTCGGGGCCTGGTACATACATACACACCCACACACACACACACACACCGTTCAGACCGAGTCCCTGCATCTTCCCACATGTATGTGACGCATGTGAGGCTTTGCCGTCTATGGCTAATTGTTTTTCATGCTTCGGACGAGATATCAAAAACAGTCTTAGCTTTCATCTAAGTCGCGGGTATTTCGAGCAACGAAGCTGCGTGCAGAGAACCATACCCACATATTGTGCCCTAACATGTTACCCCCGACGCCAGAATAAACGCTAAAAGGAGATACAGAGAGAGAGAGAGAGAGAGAGAGAGAGATACCACCCACAAACGAACTGAGAGAGAAAATAGAGTAATAAAAAAAGGTATCCTAACCCGTTACGCAAGAGTAATACAAAACTCTCTCATCAGAGCTCGGAGTTTTGGATCACTGAGCCGGCCATTGTTGCAAAGTCGGTAATACATGCAAGTAGCCCATGTATGCATGCATGGCCCTCCATCTCAAACCGAATCCTCATGAATAGGGAACTTTTTATGGCTCACGAGACCCCCCCGTCCTCTCTAAGCCCATTTGGCGGCCAAGCAGACATCCGGGACATGTTTTGGTCAAAGGCCGCATACAAGTAAAATAAGATTAAAAAAATTTGGCCGTGATTGCCGCAGAAAGCGCCGCAAAACTTCGTTGCACACGAAGCACATGATCTAAGGATATTTGGGGGGAGAGGTCCAACCCAACACTAAAACAAAAAAGAAAGGTCGGTTCAAAAGGGTGGTTGGAATGGTGCGAACGGCCGGCTGGGGTGAGTAGACGGACAGAGTCGGCTAGTTTAACGGGGGTATATGTCGAACGGAGTGTCAAGAGGGCGAGGGAGACGGCGGCGGCGGCGGCGGTGGCGGCGGCGCAACAAGGGGGGTTTCAGGAAAGGAGGCCAACAATCTATTCCCCTTTCCTCGGATCCTCCTGCCTTGGCCTAGGGAGATTCGACTAACGCGGATCCTAGACAATTCGAGAAACACCGGTGCCTTGTACCCTGGAGCGAACAGCCGTTCAGTTAGCGGTTGGTGGAGAAAACCACCAAAGGATTTTTGGCTTTCAGAAAAACAAAAACAAAAGGCGCGGGGGTCGATCTGGACTGCTCATAGAAACTCACTCAGAATCGCATTTTGTGACGGATAACGCGATATGGTGTCGCAAGGCCATGACAAGCAGCCACGTCAGATGTTGTGTACATACATGGCTCTCTGACAATCAACACCATGATCGGTCTCGAAAACCGCCGCTGACCTATCACACGCCCGCAGAACGGGCGCACCAGACGACCGAGATGGGTCAGAAGCCGATATCATTGGTTGATTCCAAGACAAGCGCTATCAGAAAATAAAACCACGCGGGATACAGAGGTGGCTTTCAAAAGTTCTTGCTAAGGCGCGGATCCATCGGACCGAATTCTCGTGATAACGTTTCCATTATTTACTTAGCGTGCAAGAAATAATGCCTAATATAGTTAGTGTATTACTGTAAGTGTATACTTTAGTAGCTATTATTCTCTCCAAACTTCCATTTTAAGGGCTTTTAGTTGAGAATATAGTATAATTCTTAGTCTTCGGCTATATTTTCGGTGGTAACCAAGGAACCCCTGTCAGCAAGAACTTTTGAAAGCCACCTCTGTACACCCCAAGTCACCACTTTTTTTTTGGTTGCCCACCACCCTCGGTTACGGGCCGTGGCCGCTCCCATCCACACTTGGCTATTCCCGCCGGGACCGGGAATCGGTACGGCTCTCTAGTTCTTACGTGCCTCCTGGTAGTCGAGTGGGCAGGGCAGGGCCAAGAAAATGTACAGGGTGTAAAACACGTCTAGAAGCGGCATATGATGATGAAGAGGGCAGCAACCGTCTCTCGGGCGTATGTATGCAAGCTGCACAAATCATAAAAGCCTAGAACACTTCCATTCAGGCGCCCATGTACTTCTGTCTTCATGTGGATAGGATCTCCACTGGGGCCGAATAGTGGGTAAAGACGACGACACAAGAAAAACATGCCCAGTAGTTTTACGTACATTGTCCCCTCCCCCCCCTCCTCCTCCTCCTCCTCCTCCTCCTCCACCACCACCACCACCCACCGGGGCCACCACCTCGAATCTAGAAAATGTGGGACTTGGAAGGTGTAACCCTTGTCTTCTGCAAATAGATTTGACGAGGGATAGGCGTCCGTCGTGTGTGTACAAATGCAGTCATCTGTCCTTTCTCCAGCGTGTTTCCTTCGCCGGAACCTTAAAAAAATCGCAGAACGGTGGTATTGTGGTGCAGCTAAAGTGGAGCAAATGCAATGTGGCATGCAATTGCGCGCATGCCAGACGACAAAGCGAGAAAGAGACAGAGAGGGTGAGAGGTGGAGAAGAAGAGGAAGAGGGAAAAAAGTCCGCGGCGCATGTCAGGATCACGGTACAAGAACACCCATGTCGAGGGGACTTGTTTACTTTTCCCAACCGAACCCGAAGTTCGCATGTGGATAGCTGTCCGAGCCGCGCAAGACTACACACCCGTTAACTCGATGGCCATGGCCGCGCTTACACGCCCCCCATATCTGCCCCTCATACCAGCCGCCCCCCCCCCCCCACCATCCGCAAGCCTGTATACTGGGCCCGATTGCACGGCTCCAGGTACGTGTCGGCGCATTGAACGGTGAAACCACGCTGCATTTGCATGTACGCATGCGACGCCGACGAGGCCCAAAAACACAACCAATAAAGCACAAAGTCGCGCCGGGACGCGCTACCACCTGTTGGTCTCCGAGTGAACAGGCAGATTGGGCAGCAACGAAGCAGGAGATAGAGCGCTCTTGTTCGGCCGTTTGAGAGGGGATTACAAATGCACGTTGTTGTCGATGCGGGCTGGATTGCTGCAAAGTCGCATGATCACGACGGTGGCTGGAGCTGCAAGGTAAAAATCCCGATGGGCTATGCATGCATATGTGCATGTATGGAGACGCATGCAGAAAGAGAGAAAGACAAGTTAGCCAGCAAGCGCAGTAAGTAGTAAGACCCAGTGTGACCATGTAGGCCAGACCCCCCCCCCCCCGGCGACGTCACCGTTTCCTGTCAAGACCCTGAAAGTCTGGTATGTACATGACTTTTTTTTCTCTCTCTCCACGGCAGTTCCGGAACCGTCAAGGACCGGTCAGCGACTTTAGGGCCATGCTAAAGATGGGCCCTCGCACAACTCCATCTTGGCGCCGGAATCAGGTGGGGGTGAAATCCTCCTCGGGATCTGGTCCATGTGCCTTGGCCCATATGGAGAGCTTTATGAGCGGGCAATCGCGGATGTATCGATCGATCGGCAGTGTCCTGACTCACACGGCCATCATAGATGTGATATCTGGAATCATGGTCTTTTGGCAAACAGGTCCTCGGAGAGAAACCATGCAGGTTGTGAGATACCTCGTCATACACTCGGTAGTTCTTTGTGATTCAGAGTCTTTTGGAAACGGTGCGCCGCCGCTGATGACTGACTGAATCTATTAAGCGCGTCTCACGCGGTTGCCGGTATCAATTTGGAGAGCATCTCAGCCTCGTTGTGCTTGTGTCGGACTTGGCATTGTACGCGTCTCAGCATGACATGCTAGCATTTAGAGTAGAGATCTAATCCTTGTGGTGTCTCTCATCCGAGGCTCCCGGGTCTAGAAAGGTTACTATGGCCCGCAGATCGTACTACCCGACGCTTCTATGGCCGGCGAGACTGTTGTGATGTGTTTCTCCTACATCCGCATATGGAACTCAGCGCGCACGCATAGTCGATATGAAGAATACGGTAGCGTATACGGTGCATGAGTGGCATCCAAAGACAGAACGTCGCCGAGCAAAGCAGGTACAAGCGGTCTAGAGACGCGTCAGCGACAGATTGGGTGTGATATTTCAACCGGCGGGTAACGCTGTTGTCTGGATTCTGGCAGACGCGGATATGGCGGTTGCTGACGGCTGCACTTGATGGGCGCCACTCCCAACAGCAGCAAGGCAAGTGTTCCAAGTCCAAACCATTGCAGAAGGTCGAAATCCTCTTCTGGATGAGGGGTTTATGAGATGGCTGCCGGGGGTTGCATTCGTGTATCCAGTGAACACTCAATAGGCATGACACCATCTCATCGTCCCACTGGCGTAGTCTCATCAACTAACTTCGGGCTGTGTGGGCATGTGTTTCTGTTACTGTTGGCTTATATGTGACTCATTTGTGTTGAATACCGGGAATCCACCCGAGGATCTGGAACAATTCGACAGTCATACAGTGCTCAGACGCTCTCGGCAATCGACAGAAATGGGCAGTGCTCGGTAACTTCTGAAAAGTGTTAGTCCGTATCAATGTCAGAACGAGGGGAACATGCAACCAATTCTCATATAAAAACTCGTCCTGCCGTTAGATTTTGTCCAAGGCACGATGTACCACCAAGCAGTATGCAACAGTAAACCTGTGCTTCTTGATCTTCTCCAAGACACCTGTCGTTAATTGTCGGCCGAGTGGTTTTCATTTAGGTACTGTAATGATATTTTGTTACACCTGAGTTTTCAAGCGTCAATCCAGCTGGATGCCCTTTGGTGGTCGATGAAGGCTTGGGGTGCTGATTCCTCATATGGATGTCGCCGAGCATGAAAAGCAACCATACGGCCCCTATGTCCACCTATACTCAGCCTGTATAATCCAATGTACCTTGGCTTCACCAGAGGAAAGTCTTGATGGTTGTGTTCCAGGAAAATTGATGTTGCACGACTGTTTGAGGGTGCTGTGGAACGTCGCTTTGAATGGTTGGGCAAAACACGTTGCTGCCCAGGACATGGCCACTAGCTCTGTCGGTACCATGCTGCTTTTGTATAAGGTACTTCGTATGAGGTTAGCGGTCAGAAGTACGTGGTGAAACACGTCATGCTTGAGACAGTGAACACGACTGTACACTGCGTACTTGCGGAGTTGGACCGGACGGTGGCATCGCCACCCCCTAGATAGAGGATGGACGTGTGCAGCTCTTCATGACGCGTCTCGAAGATAAGGCAGTTTGACCATAATTTCAGATTTCTGGGGTTTGGTCATTTTTAGCACGAGCGGATGCGGGACGCTCCACGGGGACGGGCTCGTGTCCTGAGGCTGTACAATTATGCTGTGCACAATGTCGGCCGAACCAGAGGCCAGCGCAAACTCGGGTATGGTCGTAGACGGCTGGGTCCATTGAGAAGGCAGACAAGGTTTGAGGGACAGGGTCAGTCAGTTGAAGCTGGGCGCGGAGACTCGGCGTAGATGGGAGACCAGCGTAGCCGTGGTCACGTGGGCGTCGAAAGCGCCCGCCAAGAGGAGCAGCTGAGCCTTGCCCACGACAACAAAAAACATTCGTGTGTTTTGCCATGCGAAGCCAACGATTGCACGAAAATGGTCGCCAATGGCGGCGCTCATCAACCAACCAGCCTGCCACACGCAAGCCACGGATATTCGGCTCGCGAATGAGTCGTATCGCTCAGATAGCTCCGTCAAGGTCCCACGACGACACCTGTCGCACGCTCCACGGCGCCACACTCGCCGCCAAAACGATATTGACAGTCGGCAGCGCGCCTACAGGACTCGCCGGCGATCAGTTGAGACTATGTTGATTTCACGCTGGGCCTATTCATGGCGGGCGGTCTCCGGTTGGTGGCGGTGGGAAATTAAATGTGGGATACTTGCGCCCAGGCGGCATGGCCAAAACTACGGGGTCCCGCAGCAGCATTGCGACAACGACCGGGGGCTCAACTCGTGCCTATCGCGGCGGCGACACGCTGGTGTTGTGGGTGTGTCGGTGTACATATACCTACCGCTCCAGCTGCGGAGAGAGCAGCATCGCCGGCATGGGGCTGATGGGTCGACGCCGCCGCCCACAGACGCCCACAGACGCATGACAGGTGCTGGTGCAGCGCCTCTGGTGCACACCGCCTTGTCACTGGTGCTGGGCGTGTGTCCGCCTGATGGATAGCGGCGCTCTGGGAGATCAATATGATCAAGCCTTGCTGAACCCCTTTTCAAGCTTCGCGCGCGGCGGGTGAATGTTCGCTTAAGGCAATAGTTTAGACTCGCCAAGCGGGCTCATCTCGGGTATGTCGCCAACTTCAACTGGATCCAAAACGCTCTCGACTTGGGACGGGCGAGTCTGGGGGGGCGGAGCGGCATGTGTCGCCATGGTGTTCTGTCGACTGGGCGCCGGGCGGTGCATACATGGATATCCGCATCTGGGGGAGCATGGCATGTCAGACGAGACGAAGCTGCAGTGCGGTCCCAGCCGGCGACTTCTGCAGCCAGTGCAGGCCAACCAAGGAAAAAAAAACGACGTCGATCGGCTTTATCCCTGCCCCAATTTCATCTGCCATTTGTGGCTTACCCGATGGGACCTGACTGGAGTTGCAGCGGCTCACATAGCAGCATGCCCTGACGATCTTATACGGCGCAGGTCCGATTGGGCCGTCCCTTTGCCATCTTGGGGCAGAATCCGTCTGTTCACGGCCAGGATGCTGTTCCGTGCCTGTCCTCCGGCCTAGCCACGCGTTTGGCACTGTCCAAACAAGCCCACGCCATGGTGATGATTAGTCCCATGCCGGGTGGCTTGTATGTGGGCCTGGGTTACCAGCTTAATAACTCGCGCATCCCCCAGGCCCGAAACTCTTTCTCCCTTACCGCGCGCATTCAGGACCTCACCACCCGCACCCACGTTCATTTGCTGAATAGCTCCACTCGTTTAGGTGTTCAGCACACATTCCCTTCGCTCGACAGCTTCGAGGCCTGACCCTAATTGTCCAGTGTTCCACCGGTCTAGCTCGCCACGATGCAGCTTACTACCTTTCTTGGCGCAACCTCCGCCCTCGTCGCATCCGCCTCGGCAACGGCGAGAAATGCCGTCGCCCTGAATGACGCGTGCGATCTGAGCATCCCTCACGCTCGCGTCATCAACCGCTGCGAATACGATGTTTATCTGTGGTCCGTCTTCAAGGGTGACGGCTGTCCTGAAGACCAGATGGTGGTGCTCAAGACGGGCGAGAGTTATGCCGAGAACTACCAGAACTTCACCCAGAACAACGTCGGTATCTCGATCAAGATTTCCAAGACGAACCAGTGCAAGGATGGCTCCCTCACTCAGCTCGAGTACTACCGCGCGTGGGACAACCCGCAGCCGCAGTTCCGATACAACTACCTCGACGTTTCCTACGTCGACTGTGAGCAAAAAGACTGCCCGACCAGACAGGACGGTTACTACCTCGTTGCCGGTAACCAGCAGGGCGCTGCCAATGCAGCTGGAAGAGCTGGAAGAAGAGCTGGAAGAAGAGCTGGAAGAAGAGCTGGAAGAAGAGCTGGAAGAAGAGCTGGAAGAAGAGCTGGAAGAAGAGCTGGGAGAAGAGCTGGGAGAAGAGCTGGAAGAAGAGCTGGAAGAAGAGCTGGAAGAAGAGCTGGAAGAAGAGCTGGAAGAAGAGCTGGAAGGGGGGCTGGGAGGAGAGCTTGGAGCGGGCTTGGGCTTGGACGGGGCAGGCGACGAGGAGCCATCACCATTAGGCGCCTCGCTACCACACATGTAAAAGTCCATGCTCGCGTTGAGCTCGCACGTCTTGGTCTGAACGTCGTCTGGAAGAACGTAGGACATGCTGTCGCAAGAAGCCATGTCGGAGCACGAGAGGATCGGGCACCAAGTGTTGGCAGCAGATGCCCCAGCTCTTCTCCAAGCCCTTCGCCTATCCCCTCGCAGCCACAAGCTTCTCCTTCGCCTTCGCCTTCGCCTTCGCCTTCGCCTTCGCCTTCGCCTTCGCCTTCGCCTTCGCCTTCTTCCAGTCCCGCGGGCGACAAGGACGCTTACGCCGCCAATGTTCCTGCATCCTCGCCGTCGCCTTCGCCGTCGCCAACTCCCTCTCCATCGCCCTCCGACATACTCATCAAGACCGAGATCGTTTACGTTACCCAGTACGTCAACGCTAAGAGGCATGCTCACGACCACGTTCGCCGTCACCAGGCCTTCAACGCATAAGTCGGAGTTGGCACGCATCCATTTCGGCATTGGAAGTCACCAACAAGCAGGGAAAAAACACGAGGAGCCAATCTAAGTCACATTGTACGACTTTTTAATTCTGGAACACCTATTTTGCGATATACCCGGGGGAGCAAAAGAGAGAGAGAGAGGAGATATTGGGAAGAGAAGACGAGAGAAGGCTTAAATTCGAAGTTCAGGTAATGACAGAGGTAGTCAGCGTCGCAGGCCCAATCCATTCCTTTCCTTGCAATAATTGGTTTTTATTTGTCACTCCTTTTTTTTCCCGCTCGGCGCGCGCTTCTGTCATATTATCTGGATTTATTTTCTTTTTGTATCTGGCTTGTACTCGCTATCGCCTGTCGGCTTCCACACTCTTCGACCAGAGATACTTTCAAAGGGAGGGGGAATTGCGCCATTGTTTTTTGTTGGACAGACCAATTTTGTTTCAGCAGCAGCAGCAGCAGCATTATTAGCAGCACCGCGCTTTTTTCTTGGTCGCCCATACTTAACTTATTCAATTCTCACGAAGTAACGATCGAAACAATCACCTTTCGGGTTCTGGCCCTCAATTTTTTTCGCCCTGGGCTAGCAGGATAGATAGTCTCGTTTCACCCATTTTTTCGCTTCGTTACGGGGTTGACTCCTTGCTCTCTTTTTGGGTGCGGGCTTTTTTTTTCAAGGGGTTACTTGGAGAGGAAACACTGATTTACTATGTAGCTGATTTTACTATGTATTTTCTATGTATCCTCGGAATCTATTCGCTCACTATATAATATTTACCCGTCTTACTCTGACCTCGTCTGCGTGTTCTTTGATTCGCGAGAAGTGACCTCTTTTTTTTAAAAAAAAGAAAAATGGGGTGCCCAGGAATTTGACAACAAAGCAGCTTGCCCGAGGGACAGGCTATTTTTTTTTCCTTTCCCTTGGTTTCATCACATGGCCTGCTCCCAGTCTGTTTCGCAATAGGATATATAGCCGCTCGAATTGTGAGACGAGCTGAATGAATGCCTGAGACGCCAGGTACGTACCTGCGTCCCTGTTCATGCGGTCGTCGGGCATGCTGAACTTTAAAGATAGAGAGAGCGCCCATGTAGCTGCAGGCGCGCTGATCGGGCTGCCGATCCGGTTGCGAACCAGCTGATGCTGATCAGCTTAGGGATCATCAGTGATTAGCGAACATATCCGAGGTCGCAGAAGCTCTGTCTCTGTCTCTGTCGCTGAACCAGAAGCTTTCAGATGGGTGCATGAGCCCTCACGTGCTTTTCCCTGCAACAAATAGCCGCCAGGGCTGATGGTGATGCACCATGGGTTCAGTGCGCTAGCCAGATGCAGGCCGCGCAAGCACACGCACCTTGATCTGGTGCCAATGGTTGGAGAAGCCTGTTTGAGGTCGCAGTTCGCGTCTCATCTTCACGAGCCTGTAATGTTCTGCGTGCTGCCTTGCACGTCGCTGTGGCGCTGGCCTCGGTCGGTGCGCGGCTTTGCACGAGTGGGCAGCCTGCTCAGGGGTTTCAGATGGCAGCACCATGGAACAAGGATGGTTACTTGGAAGCCGTCGCCGTTGGACGTTGCAAGCATCGGGGGCACTTTGATATTGTATAGTAAGTATGCGTCTCCCGTCTGCCACAGCCGGCTGTCGGGTTCCGTCCACGTCCAGAACATGGCTGACAATTTCCCCCACAGTTTTTTGCTCCATGGTCATGGTCAAGCTGCCCACACAACCACAACCACAACCCAGCATTAACCGCTTCGAGTATAACCGCGCAAGAGGACACGCAACGGCCTGTTGCCTCATCGTGCAGCCGTTCAATAGTCTCAGGTTCCAGATTTATTGCGACGGGGGCAAAAAGCTGGCCTTGGTCCACCGCGATTGTCGTCATGGCCGCCAGCTCCACCACACTCGGCCTCAGCGCGAGAAGGCTTCCACTTCCACTTGGACTTGGTTCGCCCGGTTGTGCATATCTGCCGATACGCATCCAGTGCATTATCCATGTGGATGCGCATGCACGTCAACGCTGGGTCCCACTCGCCTCCCGCTGGCGGTCCGGAACCTTCGGCCGCTTGTGCCGCCGCTGTTGAACTCTAGATATTGCTGCGGCGAGGCGGGCCTCAGGACATGCTGCATGTGCATGTGCATGTGCATGTGCATGTGCGGCCTGGATCAGCGCGTACAAGAAAGCTTGGCCTTGGGAGTTTGGCTCAACAACTACCAGTGCTGCACATGGCTCTTGTCAGTGAATATGCTCCATTTTATCCATCATACGATGCTTGCCTAATAAGACTGAGGTGAGCCATTGCACTCTGTTGAAATTGGAGCGCTGACTCGACAAGAGTTAAATCGTCGTTTGGGCCTGTGGTCTGCATGGCAGCCAAACAATTCCTGCAGCCCATGATTGGCTGAGTGGCTCGTCGTTGTGTGCAAATATGGCCAATTTGACTGCTTATTGGGCGAACAGATGAAAATGGCCGGCAGGGAACAAGCGCAGCGCGCCTATGGTTCGATGGCGGTACAGGTAATGGTAAGGATATAACGCCGTAATGATGACAGTGGTTTCATCTTGTCAGCCTCGCGAGCAGGCAAAAGTGGGTCGCTCAAAAGGACTCGTAGCGACGGCGACGCAAGCAGAACGCATGCGGTTACCTCTAATCTACGTACGTAGTAGTAGATGGAAGAAGCACTCCTATGATGACGAAGCAGACTCTCACATCAAGTCTTCTTTCTCATTGAGTAATTCATTTCCCAACGATACCTCCTTTTGCATCATGAATATAGTCACGTGTTCTGGTGCGTGCCCTGTCCAGCGCCTAACTCTCCTGCGCCACTGACCATGGATACCCCACAAACTTGGCAGTCCATATAGTTAAGCATTTTGAACCCTCTGCTGCCCTTGGTCACTGCTATGGCCAGCTTCTGCACAACTCTCGGCAACCTACTTATAATAATAGTCGTCGCGAGCAAGGACAATTGTGCCGGCCATCCGTGCTCTGCCCCGTATCGTTGAGCTCGGTGCTTCTGTGCACACTGATAGCCGCATCGTGAGTATAGAAAACGCACGTGTGGTTCCGTACAAGCCTCGTACTAACTCGATCGGCCTTAGAATACCGTGTCCCCGTGGAAGATGACCGGTCCGTTTGCACATATAGTTCACTGCTGACTGAGGGATTTTCCCGCTTTGCTTATCTCCACCCAAGCGGTGCACAGCCACAGACAATGTCGGCCTGTTATTCGTACTTTTCTAGAAGAACCAACCGGCGATCCGTCGGAAGATTTTATGTCTTGGTATTGCTTTTGAATACTTCTCTCCAGGTATAATCGGCTCCATGTCCATATCGACATGCGTTTGGGTTCTACAAACATAGTGCATCAGGATGAGGCCAATTATTTCCCATGTCATGTCCGTCTTGTCAAGTTATGAAGGCCCATGGGGGATGCATAGTAAGGGCGTTCGAGGTCCAGTTGGCTGCTAGTATTAGTACCTGCGAAAAATAACCAAGACAGGTATTATTTCATATTGTGAATATTATCCTTGAGTCATTGCATCGATATGTCATAGAAACTGGATGCTAAATGTACGTGGCAAGAGAATTCAGTGTCGCTCGAGGTATGCAGAAATCATATTCAGCATGATCCTGGAATAGATAACTTTAACGTTGAGCTGCCTCACAAATGACTCATTGGAGGAATGCACACACTATAGCAGTAGTAATCGTCAAATTGTCATGAGCCAGAGACTCAAGCTATCAACATTTGAGGACTACAATGCTCAAACCCAAATTGAGTCACTGCCGTCAAAATGGCATATCCAGAAGATTGCCTTGAGCAGCATCATCGGAAAAGCATAGACACAATCAGAAAGTCAGAATAAACCAACTTTTCCTTGACAAGACTGACGTTTCCCATGAGCAGCACGTCCCAAGAATCAAGTCTTCCCACGACTCGTTCCCATGAACCTCCAATACCAATACCAATACTCTCCCGAAAGAAAAAAAAACATCATTAATCACTCACACATGAAAGAGAGATGTAGAGATCATGCCGATATCCGAGCCCACAACATGCACAGACCCCACCAGTCCCGACGGACCCTGGATCTGCATCTTCAACACCAAGTTTGCCAGCCCCCCCGACCTCAGCACCGCCCATGGCACGGATCCCCGCACTTGTACAACCTAGGGGGGGGGAGGGATTCCCAACTAAAAAGCACCTGCGACATGGCCAAAGCTGTCCCACAAATATTCTATCAATAGTACTACTACTTCCGAAGACGATGCGGTGGCTGTGGCCGTGGCTGTGGAGCAACAAAAAGGCACCGGGAACCGTGCCAATGCGATTCTGAAATGACGATCGTCACGACATTGCACCACGCACCTTTGATACGAAATCGCGCCGAGAGGCGAGTACTTGGTGCTAGTCCGGGCGTTGAGGAAAGCTGTTTGAAAAGAACGGAATGGAATGGACAGTACCTATGTGACACGCGGGAGTGATTAGTGAAATGTTTGTTTTAGCCATGTACGCTGCGACAGTGACATTTCCGGATTGCGTTTGAAGCGATGTCAAAATATCAAGTCTAGTTCAGCTTGGCAGCGTAGACATGGGGTTGGGGGTGGGGAATTAGAGTGAACAAGTCCGTCAAAGTATATGTGACATACATAGGAAACAACGTCTTGGCCGTTATACCGGATTGTTATTCACGTCTTGCGACGCAAGTTCAACCATGGAATATATGTAACACCAAGGTCTAATCCAAAATCCTCCATCTAAGCTCGTTACGAACTAATTAGATTGTGGAGGGACCGCGGAACATGGCATGATACATATACACTTAAGCGAGATACTTTGATACAAATTCACACGTTCAACTCTCATGCCATGGTAATCATGATTGAAAACATAGCTGGAGCTTTCTAAATCGCATACCTACTACCTACATTCATGGTACGAGAATCCATATTGCAGCGACGATCGAAAATCTTCAACTTGCAGTTTGAAAGGAGAAGTCAGGCAGATATACCCAATCCAAGCCAAGATCAACCTATGCATCAAGAATACAGTTCCTTTCCGAAGCACAGCCATGTTTTGCAGTATTAGAAAAATAGCGAGTATTCTCAGATACAGACCTGTTGAGCATGCTGTGCTGTGTGAAATTTCCTTTGCCATGAGCAGCCTAGTGCAAAGTAAAAAGAAGAGACGAGGGACAGCTAGTAATCCAAGTCCATGCACGAATACCACAAGTACCTTGTCTCCGTGCTCTCGCCCTCGAACCAAGTATTTATGTATCCCCCCCCCCTCCTCGTCTTCCACCACATCAATTCCAGAGTACTTCATGCGTGACCAATAATATGCGCACTTCACACAGGACTGTAGTATAAAACGCCTATTCCTGGTTATATACGCATGTGCAGATTGAAAATGTAACTGTAACAAGTACTACTATTTCACTTATCTGCAGGCATCCAAACCCGCTTACTTCATTGAAAGATGAAAAAAGTGGGATATGCGGTAAAAAGAAGGAAGGTGTGTAGAGAGAAAAAAAGAAAAAAGAAAAGAAAAGAAAAGAAAAGGGAAATGAAGATGATTTTCATGTCTCTAACCCCTCAATCCTAGACTCTTTCTTTACGTGGAGTATTACTCCTCTCCTGTACTCTCCATCCCCACTATGTACCATGTCACCATATTCAATTCCTCTGAACGTGATTTCAAAACACACCAACACAGCACACTTGACGACGCACAACGGACCAAAATATTAAGAAACACAACGAAATTTAACCCTCCCGCCCAAGAATATATTCGTAAAAACAAGTCGAGTACTACTTAGCAGCCTACAGCATACATATATGGGGGAATATCCTAATCACAAAAAAAAAGCCAAAAACCCAATAAATTGTTGAACAAAAGCGAATGGGATATCAACTAAAAGAAAAATTTCATGGAAGAACGAGACGCGGATGGCCCTGACCACCACGCTTTCCTATATGGGCACCCAAATACCAACTCTTATCCTTCATACTTCTCTTCTGGCTCGGAGACTCTGCTCTCTCCGTCTCATCTGTCTCCAGAATCTGGCTGTTGCGGCCCCGTGTCTGCAGCTGACTGGATATATGCACTCGGTGCGGGAGGCGCCACATACTCACACTGCTACTACCACTGTCCCCTCCGCTGGCAGAGCGCAGATCAGGTATGCTATCGCGATGTATCTTTGATTTCTTCTTCTTCTTTGGCTGTGGAGTGGAATGATTGGAAAAGTGTAGAGATGAAAAGGCCGAAATGGGCACGTGGAATGAATGGCGGGATGTTGGGGATGGTTTCGGATTGGCGCGCTTGGGTAGCAAAGGCACCGAAGGGGCAGATATCGAGTGTTGGTGTCGTTGTTCTCGTAGTTGCCCAACACGTGACTGCGGGACTAGATGGGGTGAGAAGGAGGCAAGGATCCAGGGAGGCGGGGACATGCGATTGCTCTCGTCCCTCGGGCTTTCCGAATCCAGGCTCGCAGGCGTAAACGGGTGTGTAGTACTAAAGTATAGCTCGCGGGTTATAGGCCCAGGGGGCGTGACTGGAGACGTGGGTGGACATCGCAGCTGCCAATCCCCATGTAGATCATCGGTACCTTGTATGGGGAGAGTAATGCCGCTGCTGCTATCGCTGTTGCTGGGGACGGAAGAATATGCGACGGAATCCGAGCAGGATTCGCGCGTATGGGGAGCGGGGTCGGAGCACAGAGTCGAGGATATGTCGCGGAATGTGCGTGATGGGCCTAGACTCCGGGCACGCGGACGCTTGGGATTGCGTTCAGGGATTGGCGGCTGGGGTTTCGTTGGCCCCGAAGAAGAGGGGGTTTGGGGTTGGGGAACTTTTGCGGGGGGTGTGACAGGGCGAAGAGCGGGATGGATGTCGATGAGATCTTCGAATGGAGCCAATGCTTTGTTGCGGAATTGCGGGTGCTCGGATGAAAACGGGACTGGAGACGGATGTGTTGGCGCTCTACGGCGTACTCTCAAAGGTGGAGTTACCGGCATATCTCCATCTGCTGATTCTACACTTGGAATCCTGGCTGGTGCCGTCGGATCCAGCGATGTCATTGAGGAGGTGGTGCGCAGCGGGCGTGACTTGCTTGGTGTTTGAAGCGATGCAGGAGGTAGTAGGGCCAGTGAATCATCGGCTGGCTGTGCTTCTACTGTCGAATCTGGGATGAACTTTTCTTTTGCACGCAGCCATTCTGGTGTTATCGACTCTCCCCTTACCCAGTCATCTGGGTTCAGCGCTTGAGAATCCGCAATAGCAGGAACCTTTTCAAGCGCTTCGTGGAGTGCTTCCGGGTCAACCGGTTCGTCGCTTAGACGGTTTATACGGGCCTTTTGTCGCTCAGAAACCTCCCGAGAGATATGCCTAGAATGGGAACCCTTGGATGACAGTGTAGATATATCCGAGAGTTCAGGTGCGCTGTCCAGTTCAGCAATTACTACAAACTGCCCCTCTGGTGCCGGCTTCACGTGACAGTTCTGTGGCGCCATACTCGCAAGTGGATTGGCATTCGAATAAAGCACAGCTTCATCCATAATGTCGCGAATCAGGAATGCCGACGACTTTGCATCCCACTCTGAAATTTTCTTGGCAACCCACGGGTTTTCTGTGCACCGTAGCTTGGAAAAGTACGCGCTGCACGCCTGGGCATTGGAAAGCGGCTGGCCATAGTCGAGCAGGTCCTCCAGTACCGTCATAAACTCGATGTTGAAGTCCTCGAGGCTCGCAAACTGATCCAGGTGCAGATTCAAGAAGTGGCAAAACGCATGGTGGTAGCCCTCAAACTCAAACACAAGAAACCGTTCGTCCAGTGCTTCCAGTATCTGCTTTGCCGTGTATTTCGTTGGAGGAAGCGGTTGGCCAACGTCGAACAAATCCTCCATTACTTCCTCGGCCAGGGAGAGGAAAATGTCAAGCTTGACCTCGCGGTCCTGCCGCATCCACGCTCGGCGCTCGCCCAGCAGAGTGGGCTGCGGGTCGTTGATCTCTTCTTCGCATGAAGCTGAAGCCGACCGTTCCTTGGGCATGGGCATGGGACAGGCGCCATTACAGTATTTCCAAGTATCCTTTTGAGCCAGAGCAAACCTGACGCTGCGTTTCCAGCGCGAATATTCCGATCCCGTGGCGTCCAGAGCGAGAAGCGGGACGCCGGGCAGGCGTGGCGAAGTCGGTGGTTGCATGGCTAGTCGGGGAGCATGCACGGCAAGACGAAGGAAGCAAGAGGGCTCGGGAGCGGGAAAGCAGAGCTTACAAGAATATTTGCACTTCACACCTGTGCCTCAGCACGACAGTCGCCAAACTCCGACAGTCCGCGTGGGTAGTGCATTCATTGCGGCCCCCCATGCTTTGTTTTGAGACCGGACTCCACAACAGGCGCCGCCTCGGGCATTTAGCCCCGCAGCGGCGACGCTGCACAACCCGGGGCCCCTTGCTTATATCGAGTGCCGTCGAATGGCAGAGTGGCGCTCGGCTTGATGCTGGGATAATGGCTCCATAAGCTCGACGCTGGCCGCCTGTCAGCAGCCCCGACAGTGGCGGCAGTCGAGATCGAGAGTCAATCGGGCAAGGTGGACGGGTACGGGTGCGTGCGGACGAAAAAGACACGAAACCTGCTGCTGGTGCTGCTGGTGCTGCTGCTGACTGCGCATGAGAAGAGGATCTGCCGGTGACCGAGGAAGCCTTCGGGAAAAGTGTCCTTAATCCTAGTAGCGTCGGGCTGTGGGCGATAAGGCCGCAAGCGTGCGTGTGTGCATTGCGAAACGGCGTACAGTACAGAGGTGGCTTTCAAAAGTTCTTGCTGACAGGGGTTCCTTGGTTACCACCGAAAATATAGCCGAAGACTAAGAATTATACTATATTCGCAACTAAAAGCCCTTAAAATGGAAGTTTGGAGAGAATAATAGCTACTAAAGTATACACTTACAGTAATACACTAACTACATTAGGCATTATTTCTTGCACGCTAAATAAATAATGGAAACGTTATCACGAGAATTCGGTCCGATGGATCCGCGCCTTAGCAAGAACTTTTGAAAGCCACCTCTGTATAGGCTGGTGATATAGGCTAGCGACTTGGCCACTGACACATGGCTGGCCTCGATGGCACGGCGACGACGGTCATGAGCGCCAGTCTCGGAGTTGCAAACGCGAAGAGGTAAAAGGACCATCAGAGTCGCCGGGTCAGCACACAGCACCTTCTTCTTTTCGCAACCGCTTCCGATTGCGGCATGTTTCTGGAAAACCGCGCTTGCTTTAGCGCATACGGCAATGAGAAGCGGGGTAGCTAGTACTGTGCCTTGACGACTTGTGTCCGCTGCTGCTCCCTCCTCGATCAGGCGGTAGCCCCAGACTATCAGGCGGTAGAATCATGATACGCTGGAAGCCTCTCGTATCGCTATCAAACTGCAAACACGCCTTCCGACACGCCTCTTTTGCCGCAAACCTAGATATCATCCACCATGATCAGCATCGTCATTATCGTCACCATGATCATCATCGCCATCCCCCCCCCCATCTCTCATCGATCATCTGCATAAGCTTTTTACTCCCCACCCGCACACAGACACCCGTTGCAAACCTTGATGGCAGCAACCTAAAAAAACAAAAAGAGGGAGAGAGAGAACGTCTGTGTATAAACAAGGAACTTCAACGCAAATCACTGACGTACCGGCCCGCCAGAAACACGGCAATGTCGTTGCTCTTGCCGCCAAAACTCTGCCTGCACGGTGCAAAGCGCTGCTCGAAATAGGCGCGTTCGGGCGCGGTAAGCACCCGCTTTACGAACCGCTGCAGCCGTCGTAGCCCGTCGTTGCCGTTATCATCGTGCTCGTGCGTGTGCCGTCGGGTGATGAGCCCATGGATGCGTGGAATATGGCATATGTCTGTGCCCACCTTCAAGGGCTGCGGAAATGCGCGGAGGGGCATGGATGCATATAGCTCACAGTCCCAGGAGAGCTATTATCTTTTTGTTTTGAAACTAAGAAGCTGCAGGGTGTGTGGTAGCGGCAATACCGCATAAACACGCGCCAAGTCCCACTCGATAGAGTCTGCATGTAAAAAAAGATCTTCATCGAAACCTGGAGTTTATCGACATCTGCTTTCTGCGAGAGCGCAAAACAGAACATCAGCACAACAACAGCAAAAAAAGATCGACCGACGTTGGCCAGATTCGAACTGACGCTCCCGAAGGAACAAGATTTCTAGTCTTGCGCGATAACCACTCCGCCACAACGCCTTGGTGGGACTCGGCAAATTTGGCAGTCTTATATATCACCTGCACTATGGGCGTAGCGTGCGGCTCCAAGGCACATCATAGTTTACAGTCCTCAAGGTGTGATTCTCGATCGCGTATACGACGAGGCGCGCGGCCACAAGAATTTCAGTGGCGGTATGCAGGAAGAAGAAGAAGAAGAGCTCGACGGTCAACTGTGTGAGATTAGTATTAGTCACGATGGCGAGTATGCAACTGCAGTGGCGCTGGTGCCGGATATGAGTGGGGATTGCCGTCGTCGGGGTGCATAAGTTGGGGAACAAGGGGGCAGGGGAGGGTTGGAGAAATTGGGGGGTTAGTGCTAAAGAGACACAACGACACCCATAACAAGGCAATCACGCATACCCAGTACCTCACGTCGAATCAAGCACAACTAGGAGAAGAAACTGGTCTATGGTTGAATCTCATGCTATCAGCATCCCTCGACGTCAAATATCATGTACACTGACCATGACCGCCATGCTTTGCTATAATATTACAAGCTCCATGCCTATTGTGTCTCGCGTACAACCTTGTCGACAGCCTTTGCAAAGTAGTCAATGTTGTGCGAGTTGAGGCCGGCCATGGAGATGCGGCCGTTCTTGGTCATGTAGACGTGCGAATCCTCTCGGATCTTCAGCACCTGCTTCTCGGTCAAGCCAGTGAAGCTGAACATGCCAATCTGGTCGGTGATGTGGTTCCATGTGCCAGGCGTGCCCATGTCCTCCAGCTTGCTGCGCAGCGCCTTGCGCATTTCCTTTATGCGGCCAGACATTGTACGCAGGTTCGCCTCCCACTCGGCAAAGAGCTGGGGGTCGTTGAGAACGGTCGAGGCAATGCGGGCGCCGTAGGCAGGGGGGTTGGAAATCTCCGAACGCTGCAGAATGGCGAGCTGCGAGGCGACGCGCTGCACGGTAGACTCGGCGTCGGACGAAAGCGTGGTGATGAAGTGGAAGCAGCCAGCACGCTCGCCGTACAGACCAAAGTTCTTTGCGTACGACTGGGCAATGCAGAGCTCGAAGCCCTGCTCGACAAAGTAGCGAATGGCCCAGCCATCGGTAGCAAGGTCGCCAGAGGCAAAGCCTTGGTATGCTGTGTCGAAGAAGGGGAAGTGCTTCTTGGAACGGATGACGTCGGCGATCTTCTTCCACTGGTCCTGGGTAGGGTCGACACCCGTGGGGTTGTGCGCACAGGCGTGCAGCAGGATGATGCTGCCCTCGGTGGCGCCCTCGAGCGCAGCAATCATGCCATCAAAGTCGAGGCCTTTGGTGTCCTTGGAGAAGTAGGGATATGTCTTTTGCGGGATGCCGACATTGTTGAAGATCTGGAAGTGGTTTGCCCACGTCGGGTCTGAGAAGTAGACGGTGTGCTGGGTCCGGGGCTTGTAGAACTTTGAGAGGAACAGGGCGCCCAGGTGGACGGCGCCTGTGCCGGAGATTGTCTGCAGGCTGGTGACCTGGGTGGTGTAAGCTCAGGCAGGCGGGCGGGTGAAGGGAGATGGATGCTTACGCGCTTTTCCTTGATGGCGGGGCTGTCACCACCAAGCACGAGCTTCTGCGAGGCAGACGTGAACTCGGGCAGGCCGGCAATGGGCAGATACTCGTGGTTGAGGTTGGGGTCATTGCGCAGACGCTCGTCGGCCTGGAGAGCAGAGCAGTGTTAGCCTGGCGAGCCATGCTGCGTCGACGGGGGCGGTCCGCAGCACCCCGCATCAGTGGCTATCTTACCATCTTGACCACCGGGAGGATCCATGGCTTTGCGTTGTCGTCTCTGTAAGCACCAATGCCCAGGTCGACCTTGTCTGGGTGCTCGTCGCGACGGAAAGCCGCCATCAGGCCGAACAAGGGATCTTCGGGCGCCTGGGGCACGACATTGGCGTCGAAGGCGGTGGCAGCCATGGGGACAATGTGCGAGGAGATTTGCGAGAGGCGGGTCTGGGAGGGAGTGTGCGAGGCGAGGGAGGGCGAGGAAGAGGGGGAGGAGGCAGATGGCATGACTGTGGTGGGCACTTTTACCTCTTTCCCACGGTTACGTTTCACGCTGCGGGTTGGCTGCGCTAGCCCCCGCAGTTGAGGTTTGGGGGGGATCAAGGGCGCCGGTGAGCTGATGCGGAGAGCGGGAAAGCCGCGTTGGCAATGCAATGCAGTGACCGAAGGAAATGGCTTTGCAGGTGGCGGCACGGGCACGGGTTGGATATAAGTACAGTAGTGGTAGTCAGACTTTGGCCCAAGTAGCCCCCCAGGCCGTGTGAGCAAGCCGAGGCACAAGGCACAAGGCACATGTGTGGCCATGATGTCAACGGGCCAGCGCGCGCTTCTTCCTCTCACATGCCCCGTATAAAAAAAGCTGCTCCTGGCGACCGACGACGGTTGCGGAAGAATAGTCGTGAACCGGTGTGGGGCGCCCACGGCTGATTCAAGCATACCGGAATTCCCCCCCACAGGTACAGCAGGCTAGCATTGCTGCTTGTAGCCATCTGGTCCACTCAGCGGGCGCCGGATACTAACGGGGCGCCGCCTCTGCCATGGATGCTTTCACCTGTTGGGTGTCTCTATGCACCACCACCACAACATCATCATCATCATCATCACCATCACGCCCTCACACAAACAGGTCCCACAGCACCAGCCCCGCGCAGAAGACGCTCGTCGCCCAAAACACCTTTTGCGCCGTGCTGCCGCGCTCCGTCGCCCGCTTGAGCTCCTTGTTGCCGCTCCCGACATTGTCCCGAGTGTTGAGCGAGTCCTCGACCAGCTGGTCAATGTGCGCCGCCTGCATGCTGAGGTTGCTGGCGAGCGTCGACTGCAGCTCCGAGATCTCGGTGAGTGATTTTTCCGTGGCGCTGTGTGCCCGTTAGCAGCTGTCGGCCCAGCGACGTGTCCCGCCACATACCGCACTTTGTCCAGCTGGTCCTCGTACTGCTTGAGCATGTCCTGGTTCTCCTGCGCAAACAGCTGCAGCTGCTCGGCGTCCAGCTGCTGCTCAATCACTGCGTCCGTCTCGTCGGGCCTGTACGAGGCCTTGTCGCGGTAGTCGGTCGAGTCGGCTCCTGTGCCGTAGCCCATTGTGCTGGGCCCCGTCGTCCGCGTCTTGTACAGCACGCTCTTGCTCTTCTCCACCTCGCGCGTGAGGCGTATCTCCATCATGTCGCTCTGGAAGCGCCCGCACTGCTCGAGCTGCTTCTGCAGCGACCAGATGATGCTCTCGCGGTGCGCCTTGATCGTGTTTGCCTTGGCCTCTTCAATCTCCTCCTCTGGGCTCTTTGCCGTAATCGCCCCGCCGGCTGCCCAGCGCCCCAGCGCGCCCAGTCCCTGCTTTGCCCGCCGTCTCAGCGCCAGCTGGCTCTGGGCTGCCTGCCGTGCCTGCTCGGCGACGCCCAGCCGCTTGATGGCATCGTTGAGCTGGTGGATTGACTGCTTGGCCTGGATATCAATCTCGTTGCGCTGCGCATCGCTCAGGTACTTGGTGTCCTTGTCTGTCGCCGTGTTTGTCCGCGCCAGCTGTTTCCGGCGCGGCGGATTGGCCGTGGAGAGATAGCTCTGGCGTATCGACTTGAGGTCGGTGTGCAGCTTGGTGATGTGGGTGCGCTGCTGCAGTTAGTGGCTGCTACGAGACTGCGCGCAACGTGGCCTACAATGCGGTATGCCTCCTTTACAAAGTCGTCGAGCGCCTCGACGCGAAACATAAAGCGCTGCAGCGGCGGCGCATTGTGCTTTGCGAGCACCTCGTTGAAGACGGGCGTAATGTCCATCGGGGTGAAGGAGTGGCAAGTTGCTTGTATGGATTGACCATGACGATAGCCCCCCGCGGGAATGCCATGCTGGGCCTTCGCTTGCCAGCCAATGACGCAGCTGATCGCCTGCCGCCGCTTTCTTTGCCATGGTTACATTGCAGCATGAATGCCTTTCCTGTTAGTCTATCACTCTCCTCCATACTAGCCACCAAGTCGCCATCGAATGTTCCAAAAGTACGTCATACGGTAACCCGCACAGTGCCCTCAACTGCCCTGGATGCCCCTCAACACCTCGTCATCGTCACTCTGCTTCCTGCTACGCCTTACCCCTCCCCTCCAGGCACCAAGCCCGAGTCTGGGACCTAAAAGCATCCAATATATGGCTGGGATAAAAAAAGATATTCAGAGCTGAGCCGTGGACCGCCCCCAAACCCATCTGCCCACGATGATTGGGCACGGGCACAGCCCTCACCTCACTAATCACGCCTGTAACATGCATCTTCGCAGTGCATGGCCTGCCAGTCTCGCGCCATATCCGAGTCTACGAGCCCCTGGGCACTTGTTGAGCAACACCGGCCTCTGCACTTGGCACCAGACGTGTCTATTGATCAAGGATGCTTCGCCGTGTGAAACCCGTGTGCGTTGTAACATCAGCTTATGTTTAGGCTGACCAATGGCAGCTCAGCTACACGTCGCTGTTGAAGTTTCTGGGGCTACTGTCTGTATAGCTAGACTCGTCTGCCTTTGGCTATTATATACTCCCGCCTTGCCTTGATATTGCTGCCTTGCTCCTCCAACTCTCTACAACTCTCTACAACGATACCAAATCTTTACCTACCTACCTAAATACATACATCCCACAACACAGCAAACATGAGCATCAAAGCCCTCCTCCTCGCCGTCTTCACCTCCACCGCCATGGTCTCCGCCGCCGCCATCATCAGGCGCGGTGATGAAGCCTGCATCCCCACATCCTACACCCTCACATCCTACACCCTGACGACATCCCCAAACGCTGCCAGCGTCGACTTTGAATTCCAGGCCAACTTTCCCGACTCCGTCTCCACCGACCAAGTCCAGGACGGCGCCCGCTGCACCGCTTCTGGTCCTTCGATTCCCAACAACAACGAATGCCAAGTCCCCAGCCGTGCTTTGCTATTCGATCTCCGTGGCCCCCAAGAGCAGGCGTACTACCAGATTACGCACACATGGTCGTGCAACGGGTGAGTAGCTGCTTGCTTGCTTTGTTTCCCCCCCATCTTATGAGACGAGGCTAACGACAGTAATAGAGGCACCTGGCTCTCTGGCAACGCAGTCAAGGTCACGCCATTGGACTGCCACGACCAAGGCAATGCGCGCGTCTGCACCGGCGCTCCTCTGACGCTTGCACCCCAGAATGTCCGCAAGATTTGCGCCACGCCCACGTGCTAGCTTCAATCCCTAACTGAAATGCCTGCATGGGTTCTTGACGGGAACAGTGCAAGCACTCTTCACCTGTATTTGAAATGACGTCAAAGTAATGTTCAGACATGTGTATGTGTATGAGGAAGTATCAAGTTTAATCATGGGGAGGTAATACAAAAGTTAAAAGTGCTTTTGAATGTAATTCTATCTTGTACATTTTATGCTTTGAAAACAGTCAACTACGTGCATTGCTCATACACCGAGTTCACTCTAGTCTACGTCATACCAACTTGTTACCTAAAACGTCATTGCTTTAGATATACCTGCCCTGTCACATGCTCTACCATGTCACATGCTTCTACATGCTTCACTCAGTATACTCAATCCTATTGCACCATATTGTTTTCTTCATCTCTTTCCTTGCCACTCTACTCGACGCAACACCTCCCATACTATGACGCTACATTACGATACATAATCATGTGATTGGCACCTGACTTCTCATCCAATCCAGCCTCTGTCCTTTTCTGCCATGCTGAGGAGAGGACTATCTGCACGGCACATGCATGCATATATGATGACCTACTTAATCATTTTCTTCTCGCTCGCTTACTTAGTTGAGATGGGGATCTGGAAGCCTCGACTCTTCAACTTGATTCACGTACCTCACTCACAAAACAGCCGTGTGTGAGAAGAGGGAAACACTTCAATTACTCACAAACCAAGAGTACAGCACCGCCCTTTGAGACTATGTAACGTAGCCCGCGACTCAATTTCCATGCACAGTGCATGCTGCAACATATCCACGCAACCACCGCTTTATCGTTTCATTCTCCCATCTGTCATTCTCTCTCAATCATGACTTGGTATTCTACTCCTGTGCAATCGGCAACATGCTGAATATACATGTTTACTTCGGACCTTACCTGTCCTTTTAATCCCTGCATCTCCTCGCCTTATTATCCCGAGTGCTGTCAAAAAAAAGTATAGTTGGACAAATGGTGTAAGTAGGCATAGCCGACATGTCGATGGTCAAACCTACACATAAGCCCACCACAGAGTCAGTAACTCCAGCAATTAATCAACAAATCAATCAATATACCCAATTACCCAACCAATCAAACACCCCCCCCCCCGTCTTTTTAAGCAGGCAGTCAGCAGTCAGTCACCTTGTTGGCCACGAGTCATAACCCACTCAATACACTAACCATGCCAAACAAAGAAAACAAAGCAGCTCACTACCTTTCCAAGTAAAATGATGCACACAAGAGCTGTCAACCATCGAGTCAGACGCTCAGCTTGGCTTTTTTTTTCTTCTTTCCCAGCTGACCCGAGTTTTGGTAGATTGTACATAAGCGTAATCTAACGTATATTACTCCTGCCGTCATCATCGTGACTAGCATCATGATATGGCAGTATGAAATTTCCGTGGTGGGGGGGTTTATGAAAGAAACTTGTTGTTTTGTTGCTACTAGTATCGGAAGCCGGCAATGGCGGACATGGCGTTTACACAGTACACAAGATGTAATGAGTTGAAAAGTGCCGCACACGCATGAGTTTTGCGAGGTCTCAGTGTGTCCTGGGGTGCTTGGTTGGTTGCTTGCATGGTGCACAAGGTTCCCCCCCTCCTTATCGGACCGCTGCTTTTATACTTACGCACCCCTCGCCAAGTACCCGCCCAACACCCAGCCCTATTTCACAAGTCAACACCACTACATAGACATGTATAGAACTACCAGTATTGGCGTTGGCTAATTCCCACGTGGCCCGGACTTGGGCGCACGTGGAGCCACTAGAACGTGAACCAAGGCGTGCCGAGAAAACTAAAATAAATAGCACTAGTGAGGCGGGCAAAAAAAAAGAGGGCAGAGGAGAATAAAGAGCTGAAACTTCGTGTTGGTTGCTTGGCAGGTCAGAAAAGGCTTGCAAAAGGGGAGAGAGGGAGAGATGGAGAGATTGCACTAGCAGCGTAGGGTTGGGCCGAATACGCAGCACCTCCGTATGCGGCAACTTAATTTTTTCTCTCTCCTGCTTCCATGCCCCTCCCCCTCGTCTCGTTCGTTCAATCTTGATAACGACAGAATAAAAACGGAAAAGTCGGCCGGGTGACGAGTTAGGCTATGATTGCGGCAATAAAAAAAATGGCAATGAGCAAACCCCAAAAGGTGGAGCATGAATTCAAAGGAGCCCGGTATGACTCGGATGTGGATTCTTTCCATGCAAGCACCCTGGGAGGTAGCGATACACGTTGTGTTTCGAAGATCCAGTGTTACTGCGAAACAATGGCACCGAGCGAGAGAGAGAGGTGGAGACGGGGGGCCCTGACAGGAAACAAGGTCGTGAGGCGAACGTGACCATGTGAGTAGACTAGTACATTCACAGTAGGAGAAAGACACAATGTCAATATTGTCAATAGAATGTGCATGGCAAGGCAAGCAGGGGGCTCGTGTGGAGCAAAAGGCAAAAAATCAGAGACTGGCGAAATGGCATCAAGCGTTGTGAAGACAGTGTAATGGGTAGTCGAGAGAAGAAGGGCAAAGTGCGGTGGCGACCATGAAGAGTACTTGGCGGGAAAAAGCACATGGGAGATGGAAAAAGGCCCACGGCGGGCTCGAAACAATTATGCGAACCTCGGCAAAGGATAATTATGGCTCGTCGATGCAGATGCAACGAGGGTAGGCGTTCGGCAACGAGTTTCGCCTGTGGTTTGCATGACGAGAATCGGGACATGCAACGAGAACTTCAGGCGTTGTGGCGGCTCCAGGTGACAATGGCTTCAAGGGCATCGAGGCTGGTGCTGTCCGGATTCGACAGCCAAGCAGCTGCATGGGGAAACCCCATGAGGATCACGAGGACAGGCCCGTCGGATGGGGCAGTTCCAGTTCTGGGCTGAGCAACAGGATCGGCGGGCGTTGCGAAGACCCAAGCTTCCCGTTGGACGTGTGGGCAGGATGCGTGGCGCACTGGCGGCATGGCAAAGTGTAGTAGTGGTAGAGGTGCTCAGCAGCTGCGGGCGTGGCGAGGGGAAAGCATGTGTGTTTTGATCTGGAGCTCGATGTTTGCGACGCTGCGAACTGCCCGTCACGCGTGTTAGCAGGCGAACGGCGGTGCTGGGCTGGGGGGGGGGGCACAGACAGGGGCTACGGGCCAGGGTCGTGTTCATGTTGTTCCGGGGGGAGCACAGCAGTGCGCCCGCACTCGCACAGCAACGGGCAAGGCGCCGATATGGTCGCGGCGACCAGAAGACGAAACCGGCCGGCTCTGGCTAGGGCAAACCTTGGGCCATGTCGGTGGTGGGGGGAGCAGCATGCATTGTAGTCGGTGCAGGTGTGTGTGGGTGTGTGTAGGTGTGTAGGCGTGTAGGCGTACTTGGGCGTAGGCTGCTGAGGGCAGGCTCGGGGGGAAGCAAGAAAGAAAGGTGCAACCGTAACGGTGCAACGGCGGGCGTCGCCGTGGCAGGCTCCCGAGGCTGGGAGACGGTGAGGTGGACACGAGGGAATTGAAGGGGGTTGCGTGGCTGCCGGCCAATATACCGGCTGCATGTAGGTAATACGTTCGGCAGGCGGTGCAGGCGGCGCAGGCGGGTATCATGACAGGCAGATGGAGGGCGAGGCGAGGCGGGGGGGCAGTGCCGGTGCGAGTGGTAAGGCCGGGCGAGATTTGTTCTTTTCTCTTCTGGGGGGCGGCGGGAGTGGGAGAGGGCATCGTGGTGAGGGATCCGCGTCATTCGCGGCCTTGGTGGGACCCGTGTCATGCCGAAATGAAGCGCCCGGCAGGGGCGCAGGGTCTTGGCGCGCCCTGTGATTGGGCGGCGTGCCGAGTGGCTCGCTCGCACCCCCTCCCCCCCCCGTCGAGGCTGGCGGCCAGGCCAGGCCCAAGACGTCGCCACACCTCATCCGCGCATATGGACATACTACGTACGTACCTACCGACCGCCATAGACACATACACCTGTGCCTGCACCGACGCCCTTTGGCAACACAGCTCCCCGTACGCTCGCCCCCCCCGCAGCGCCCGGCCGCAGCTCGCGCGCACATCATCGGCCGGCCAGCCAGCCAGCCAGCCATCCAGCCATCCATCCATCCAGCCCTAGCCCTGCCCCTCACACCCTCAGGCCCTCAGGCCTACGCAGCCTGCGTGGGCGCGCTGTCGCATCATGGCCTCCCAAGGACGCCTCGTGCCGCGTGATGGCCTGCTAGGCAGGGCGCAACATAGCATATGGCATATTGGCTGAGCTGGGGAGCCGGGGTGGGTGATCCCCCCATGGCTAGTGCCGTTTGACTACACCAGACACAACCACAACCGTCTGCACGACCAGGGCCCGGCCGCCAGCTGCAAATTAATCCGCAGGTGCACATTGCTGGGCGTCGACTGCAATCTGCACTTCATATGGGCGGCAGCGGGGGCGCATGCACACACTCGCCTTTGTCTGTCACGCCCGCCCTCGCTCCCTCTCGGCCCTCTCCTCGCTCGCCTCTCCTCGCCCGCCTCTCCTCGCCCGCCTCTCCTCGCCCGCCTCTCCTCGCCCGCCTCTCGCTCGCCTCCATCCACGTACACTCGCACACGCGCACACGCGCACACGCGCAGCCTCGCTCGGCCCGTCCTCTGTCATGTCAAACTCGGGCCCGCGCCAGACATAACCACGCACCCTACCCAGCCTACGCCCGCTGCAGCAAGCGCCGTTATATTTGGCCACTATCGAATGCAGAGATCCGCTGCGCGAAACCCTGCCTTTTCCCGTCGTGGCCACTGCCACTAGTCCGCGAGCCGTCGGTTCCCTTGGCCCTCCCTGCAGGGAGCTCACGTTAGCGACTCGCTCACCCTGCCAGCCGTCGTTTTGGCCTCGACACCTGGGCGACTTTGTGTTGCTGACGCCGGCATTGGCCTTGCTCTCTCTCTCTCTCTCTTCCTCTCGCTCTCCACCGTCCCTGTCGCTCTCTTCCTCTCTTCTTCTCTCCCTTACCCCCCCCTTCCGACTCGCGCACCCACCTCAGCCGACAATTCCCAACGGGCCCTCTCATATATCGACACTGCGCATCCCCTTGTCGCCCCCCGTTGCTTCAACCCCCCCGTGGCGCCCTCTCTCCCTCCCATCCCTTCGACAAGCCCCCCTTCGCCAACGCCGCCCGCCGCCTCACGCTCTCTCAACCCACGATTCTCCGAATCACGACCACTCCTTTTGAAACACCCTGTCGCACGCGCGCCCTCTTTGCTGTAATCTGAACGTTGCCTATCGTCAACGTCGCTCCCGTTCCTTTTGCCATCGCACGCACCAAGACACGACATCGCGCCTCAGCCCCGCTGGACCCAGTCACGACGCGCAAGCCGCCTCCCCGTTAGCCAGGAACAAAGCAACTCCACCCCACCGCAAAAAGTACTCTTGCCCGCCCGTCCTTGCTGCCCTGCCGTCATTGTTCTCGACCGCCCGGTGGAAACCCTGCTTTGATTAACGGCCGTGACACCGCGTGTCTACCACCATTTGCTTGCCGCTTGTCCCTGTGCCGTGCATCAGAGCCACGCGACGACTGCTCTTCTGGAACCTGTCACTTGTCAACCATGACGGCATAGATCCTCGACGATAGCCAGATTCACTTACCACTACGCCGTCTATAGACTTGCCCGTGGTTTTGCATATTCCTAGCTGCATTGCCAGTCTAGTACGTACCACCACCACCACCACCACCGCTGCCGCCGTCGCCCAACACGTCGCGCCGCACAGTACGCTGACCGCCCACAGGTCCATTCTTTACCCACTATTGACAATCGTCAAGTACACTCGTTTACCAGAGCCCTGACAGTATGCCTTCACCAGCACCCCATTGCATGCGCCGTGACTAATGCCACCCCAGGTTAGAAAACTCAATCACCTCTGACTACTCTCCCCCTCTTCCAGAGACACCTAATTATCCGTAGCGTGGGGACATAATTGTAAATATGCCGCGATCTGCCGCTGTTTGGGCGGCTGCCCTATTGATGGCCAGCATGTCTGGCTCTGGCCCGATGCTCACAACAGCAGAGGCTATGCCTGCGCCAGGACCTGCGCAGACTTTGGACCGCCCTCGATACTACTTTCCACGCCATATCAAGCGACAGATTGTTACCAATGCGACTTCAATAGCGTCACCAACTCCCTCGCCCTCGCCCTCGCCCCTCTCCTCATCGAGCTCCTCGTCAAGCTACTCGTCGCCACACGACACAGCGCAGCGTGTCACGTCGCGTGACCTTGATTCCTCCTCCTTTGTAGAGACGCTTTTCCATGGCTCTTCCGACAACCCAGCGCAACCATCTCCAAACGGGATTGCCAGTACCGAGGATATTGAGCATACCCGCTCGTCACCGGTCCCTCTTCCTCCCACTTCTCCTATAAACAATACCACCATGGTTTCTTCGACAAGTTACGTCGCATCATCTCCGCTCCCGTCTAGTCCCATGTCTAGTCCCGCCTCTAAACCGGAGTCACAACCAACGCCGAAGCCCAATGGTCCAGATGGGGAGGAACCCAATGATGGCGATGCGAAGCACAGCTCACCTTCAGTGGGCCCATCGAGCCCTCGCCCTACGTCAAGCCATCAACCCACTCCATCGCCTGAGCCCGTTCCAGAGCCGCAACCCGCAATTCCTCCCCCTTCTCCAAGTTCACCGGCTCCCGCAGCGCCTTCTTACCCGAGTGAACCGGCCCCTGCAGTGTCCTCTCCTGCATCGCCTTCTCCTTCAGCCCCTCAGGTCGGTGGCACGGGTGGTCTTCCTGATGTCATTGTGCAGCCCAGCTCTGCCCCTGCTCCCAGCAGTGCCCCTGCTCCCAGCAGTCCATCCTCCGCTCCCAGCAGCCCATCTTCTGCTCCAGATGCCGGTCATCCTCTGCTTGGCACCGGCGGCTTGATCCCTGATATCATTGGCCCCACGGGCTTGCTTCCTGGCATCATTATCCCGCCAACATCGTCTGCCAAGAGCTCGTCACCTAGCCCAACACCAGTTCCAACGCAACCGCCTCCCCCGACTGGCTCAAACGGTGGACTGCCAGATATCATTCTCCAGCCAGCTCCGTCTCCATCTCCATCGCCAGCTCCGGAGCCTCAGCCTGAGCCTGTCCCACAACCACATGTTTCGCAGCCTCAAGCTTCCCAGCCTGCATCAACTGGCGGACTGCCAGACATCATTCTCCAGCCAAGACCATCCCCAACGCCATCTCCTAAGCCTCAGCCGGAGCCGGAGCCGGAGCATGAGCCTGCCCCACAAGTTTCGCAACCTGCATCAACTGGTGGACTGCCAGACATCATTCTCCAGCCAAGACCATCCCCAACGCCATCTCCTAAGCCTCAGCTGGAGCCGGAGCCGGAGCATGAGCCTGCCCCACAAGTTTCGCAACCTGCATCAACTGGTGGACTGCCAGACATCATTCTCCAGCCAAGACCATCCCCAACGCCATCTCCTAAGCCTGAGCATGACCCCGTCTCAATCCTACCACAAGCCTCGCAGCCTGTATCCACTAGTGGACTGCCAGACATCATTCTCC